AGGAGATGAAGCTGAGGTCCTGGGCAGATAATTTGCTTCTTTTTAATTTGATAAAATGTAAACAAATACACAGAATTTGCAAACATAGGATAAAAAATTGCACATTTAAAAAATTAGATTCTGGCCAGGGCTTTAGTTCAGTGGTGCCTCGCCTGCCTGGCAAGCACAAGGTCCTGAGTTTGATTCCCAGTACTGGAAAAAAAATAAATAAAAAATAAAGATTCATAATTGCTTATATTTGCTCTATTTGCATTATGTGTGTGTTTCTTTTCTTTTCTTTTTTTTTTTTTGGTACAGGGATTGAACTCAGGACCTTGTGTTCTGCCACTGAGCTGCATCCACCCTTCCTTTATTTCTCGCGACAGGCTCTCCATGTGCAGTCGAGGACAACCTTGAACTCGCTGTAGTATGCACCACTGTGCTGGGTTTGTTTTCTACTTTCCTCTTAGTAAGGGCCTGCAGGCTCTGTTGCTCCTGTCTGACCTGCCACCTGAGGACCTTTCTGAAGAGCGCAGAGCAGCCAAGGAGCCTCCCTGTTTGGGTCTGCGTGGCCCTGTGATGTGCTGGGCTCCCAAGTCCGGCAGGAGGGCCGCGTCCTCTCAGGTGGTTGCTGCAGGTCTCGAGGGCCACCTGTCTGCCTCCGGTGCTGCAGACCCTATGGCTTGGCGCGGCAGTGTCTGGAAGGCGCCTGGGTGGTGCCGCCTCCCAGCGGTGTTAGTCCTTCTGTGTTCCTGAGCCAAGCTCATCATGGCTCAGAGGCAGGGAGGTTGCAGCGCTTCTGGGTTGTCGGGGGACTGGAGTCTGCATCACCTCAATTCCCAGCCCGTAGCATCTGCTGGGGTGGGAAGTGCAGGGTGCTTTCTCCAGGCCTGGGTTCCCAGAAGACAGGGTGAGCTTTACTGGGCCAGGAAGCTCCTCCAAAGCAGAGGAGAACAGCTTGGGCCAGTTGTGTGAGCCACCTACATGACACAGTGGAAGACACTGCTGAGGCCAAGGGGCTGGGAGTGGCTGGGTCCAGGGAAGAGTCTGGGTTCAGGAAGGACGCCAGCTGGATCAGCAAGATCTGGGGGCCAGAGAGATGAGGACAGTCTGGCTGAGTCAGCTGAGAGGCCAGAGAGCCGCCCACAGCAACCTCCTGGCCCTGTGCACAGGCTGCGGGCTCTACCCGAGATGGTGAGTTTACCTGTCATTTCCACTTGGGTAAGGACGCACATTCTGTAAAAAAACTGGGTGCAAAGCTAAGAAAGGAGTAAGTCTCCCACCTGCTCCAGACACGCAGTTCACTGCTGATTTCTGTGCTTTATATATTTTAAATTACTTTTGTACTCAAGGTGTATTGTGCACCTTGATTTTCTTCTTTTTCTTTTGGTACTGGGGATCGAACTTGGGTCCTTGTGCTTGCGGCAGCAGGCGGCGAAACCACTGAGCTAAATCCCCAGCCCTTGATTCTCTTCTTATGCAAAGTATCTTGGAAAAAAATCTCCGGAACAGCTGAAGGGCTCCCCCACTTTTTTGTGGTACTGGGGATCAAACCCGGGGGTACTCTACCCTGGGAGCTACCTCCCAGTCCTTTTTATTTTTTATTTTGAGACAGAGTCTGTCAAAGCCACTCAGTTGCCCAGGCTGGCCTTGAACTTGTGATCCTCCTGCCTCAGCCTCCTGAGTGCCGGGATCACAGGTGTGTGCGCCACCAGGCCTGGCTGAAACGCCCCCTTTTTAATGGCTTCAGAGTACGCCCGCCTGGGCGGTGAGGCCTGCCAGTGGGATATGCAGGTAAGCCCGGTGCTGAGAAAGGAGGTCTGGGCCTGGCAGTGAGAACAGAGCTGCTGTGGACAAGGGCAGACGTCCCGCCCTCACTGTGCATCCTGGCGCCAGTGTGCAGAGTTGGCCCTAGCTGAGCCTGGGCCTGGCTGGCAGAGTGTCTTCCTGTTGTTCTCGCTTGTTCTCCTCATGGTGAGGTTGAGCCTTTCCGTACATTGGGAGCAATTTCTCTGACTTTTTTGGGCGATGTGCAATATATTGATTCATGTGTTTTTCCTATTTTTCTCTTAGATTATGGATCTTTTTCTGACTTGATAGGAGATTTAAAATATATCCTTATATAGGGATTCTGTTTGGAAAAAAAGATGATTGACAGAGAATCAAATGCCTCTTGGAATAAAAATAGGTATGCTTACAAAAAATAAAATAAAATAGAATGCATGCTATATTAAAGATTAAGAGGTTTAACCTATAACATGAGCCACATGCTGGGTGTGGTGGTGCACACCTATAATCCCAGCACTCAGGAGGCTGAGGCAGGAGGATTGTCGTGAGCTCAAGGCCAGCCTGGGCTACATAGGGAAACCCTGTCTCAAAAAAACAAAAACACAACAACAACAACAACAACAAAGCCAAACCGTAAGGTACAATTTTTTCTAGTTTGTGTTTATCTTTTGGCTTTGTTTTTTTTTTTTTTGGTACGGGGGATCCTTGCGCTTGCACAGCAGGCGGCGAAACCACTGAGCTAAATCCCGGCCCTTGGCTTTGTTGATGATAAGGCTTAGTCCCTGTTTAAAGTTGTTTTATTTTTATCTAGTTCAGTTTATTGATGGGGCTAGTACATGCGTAATAACTCTGAGAAGGAAAAACATCCATGGTGCCTTCATGGCCTGTTTCAAACCACCGCCTGAGTGCCCAACCCCTCCACTGGACAGACACATTCTACCTTGGGCTCTTCTAGGACCCACATGGTAGCTGTGGTTTTTTCCTATTTAAATTTTTGACCCATCTGCTATTAATTTTGTTGTAAGATATTGGCAGGGAACTTCTCTGCTCCATCATTTCTGCTTGGGGCACCAACCAGTTGTTTGTTTTTTGGTACCGGAATTGAACTCCTGTGCTTGTGAGGCAGGTGTGGTGCCACTGGGCTAAATGCCTGGGCCAATTAACCAGTTGTTAGCAGAGTGCACGGAACAAGCCACCCTCCCCAGTGGACTGCAAGGCTGCCTCTGTCCCACACTGGACTCAGGCAGTTGGTTCCTGGGCTCTCCACTTGCCCCAGGACCCATTCATTCTATGTGTGCCCTCTCTTCACTTAGTGGCTTTACAGTGAGCGTTAGTATTTCACAAGATTAGCACCCTTTTACTCTTCTTCCTAATGGTTTTCCTATGGCATTAGCCATCTTTTCTGTTGCTGGAACGAAATATCTGACATATACAACTTACAAGAGGAAGGCTTTATTTTGCTCATGGTTTCAGAGAGTTCAGGCGCTGCTGGCTGGCTCGTGGCAGAAATGGCACGGGAAGGGTGTGGTGGAAAAAACCTGCTCACCTCATGGCAGCAAGCAGAGACAGAGAGGAAAATGTCTCATCCGATCAAGGTCGTGCCCCGACCCACTTCCTCCCACAAGGCTCAGCTCCCCAGCAGCCCACGCAGCTGACTCACCGGTGGACCGATCCATTGATAAGGTCTGCACCTTCATGAGTCCAGCTCCTCCACCGCCCCACCTCTGGAGAGGAGGTGTTGGGAGGGCATTTAGATGTAAACCCTAGCATCTGCCCATTCTTGCGTGTGTGATGCTTTTCCAAATGAACTTTACGCCAGCATGCCTACCCTGCCCCCACTCCTCTTGGGGCTTCATTAGAATTTCATTAGACTCATAGACAAATTTGGGAAGAACTGACATCTCTACTAGTGTTAAGTCTCCCTATCGGAGAGAACAGTATTCCATGCTGTTTTAAATGGCGTTCTGTTGTGTCTCTGGGGAATGTCCCAGCTTTCTTGCATGTTTCTTATAAGCTTGGCCCTATCTCTTGTTGCTGCTTCTATTCACAGAATCTCTCCCTCCTCCTCTTACCTAATGTGTGCATGTTCCGAAGCTCCCAGCCAGCTTCCTGACTTATGTGGGACACTTCCACTGTTGTTTGTTCCAGCAGGTGGCTGGCTTTGGTGACGGATGTTTGTCATTCTTTGAGGGACCATGATGGTACATTGGTTATGTATTGCTATGTAACAAATCACCCAAAAATTAGTGCTTAAAACAATGATGAAAATTCAGGATCTCACAGTTAACAGGGGCATAGGGGGCAGTTCTGCTTGGCCTCTCTCTCTTGAGGTTGGGATCAGGGTGTTGGCTGGGGGTTCAACTGGGGATGGGGGCTGGCAGAGCCTCAGTTCCTTCTGACAGGACCTCCCCATGGGGTGAGGGAAGTGACCCTCGAGTGTCCCCCCAGTGCTAATGGTCAAAGACAGCAAGGAGGAAACCAACTATCTCTCGCCATACCTGATCATTTCTTCACATGTCCCTTGGTTACAAGGGGGATCTTTTGCAGTGGGTGAGGCCAGGACCAGTGAGGCTGAGGTGTCCTGGGTCAGCCTGCTTTGGGATACTTTTCTGTCAGCTTAGCCTTTGGTGACCACCATGCCTGAGGCTAGTGGTGGCACTTCTCCAGAGAGGTCAGGAGGTCCGCCGGGCACCGGTCAAGTGAGATTGCAAAACACTTCCGGCTCTTCCTGGCCTTTGGGGTGGGGAAGTTTTCTCTTTCTCATTCTGCACTGGCACAGCCTGAATGTGTCTGTCATTTTAAGGGGTTGGATATAATTATTATCTGTCTAATATAATAACTGGGCTGGTGCCTTTTAGGAAAGGTCCCTCCCTGGCACAAGTTCCTGGCCCTTCACCTGCCTGTAGTCCCTGGATTTCATAGAATGCCATCTTCCCCTGCTAGAGCATGTTTGGCCCCAAATGGGCACGGCACTGTTGGCCATCAGTGCTGGGTCTCACCTTCTCCCCTGTGCCTGAAGCTACAGTGGTGGGGGCAGAGGGGAGCGTTGGCGTGTGAGGCTAGGAGTGAGGAAGTGCTGGTTCAAACCTGCGTTGGCTGACCCAGGGGAACTTGGGGTCTGCTAGCTGGCAGTTAGTCGGCAGGCTCTCTCTGGAAGGGAGCTGTCACTTGGGGGCGGGGCAGGGGGCGGGGCAGGGCAGTGAGGTAATTTCCGTGATCAGGCGTCAGAGGTTTGAGTTGCCCCAGGGGCAGAAACGAAAGTGATCTCTGCTCCGGCCATTGCCTGTGCGGCAGGCTGAGCCCCTGCGGCGGGAGGGCCTGGCAGGGCAGGGGAGGACAGCTGTGCCCTGCAGGTCTGGGGCTGGGGACCCACATGTGCCCATGCACAGCTGGCTGCTGAGTGCCCTGCAGGGACCCCCGGCATCCCTGTGGCCTCAGCCCCACAGCAGTGCAGCCCAAGCTCCTCTTGAAACTCCTGCTGGCTCCAGGGGCCTGGACTCTGAAGTTTCCACTTGGGGTGCAGGTGAGTTTCAGACTCTGGCTGCTCCTAGTCATTTCCTTTTAGAAGATCATCTCTGATCCCCCACAGTGTCCCTTGAAATTTCCCCTTAGATCTGACTTGCAGTGTTTTCAGAGGCTCTTCTCTCCCCCATTGGGCTGGAAATTAAACCCTGGGCCCTGGGTGTCCCCTCTCCTGCATATCTGCAGGAGCTCTCGTATCCACTGTCCCACCTGGGAAGGCCTGGGCAGTGATTTCCCCTCCCTGGGCCAAGGCCAGGTAGGACACAGTCATCCGGAAAGCCTCTGTCCTTACAAGAGCTGGGAGAACGGAGCCTGAGGGCCTTGGGTGCCCAGAGCTCCAGATCTCATTGGGCCCAGAGACACCGCCCAGGGGCCGCTTCTGTGGCCTCCAGGGCTCTCCTCTTCTCCAACCACAGCTGCCACTTCTGCTCCTCTGAGACAGGGTCTGGAGACCCGTAAGAAAGGAACGGCCTTGGTGGGTCCAGCTCAGAAGGCCTGACTCTTGACAGGTCAAGACTGCTGCCCAACATCCACTCCTTGGGCATTTGGGCAGAATTTCCCCTCTGCCTAGGAGAGGGCTGTGGGTGTCTAGCTCGACCTCTGCCCACCCTACATTTCCTGTTCCAGATGTTTCCCCAAGGCCTGTGGTCCCAGTGGACCAGCTGAGCCCAGGAGTCTTGGACGCCACACTGAAGAACCTGGCCAGTATCAGAAATGGCCTCCTCGGGGTGTGGCCCATCGTCCACCAGCCCCTTGGCCCCCAGGGAGCCTCTGGCCAGGCTCTGCGCCCAAGTGGATCTCTGTCTGGGCTGCTCCCGCTGTGCCCAGCGCCTCAATGACAGCACCTACGTCCTGTGCCAGGTGGAGCACAGCTGCTCCCACGAGGTCCTTCTGGCTCGCCTTAAGGGAGCTGCCAAGAAGAAGACCTGGCGCGAGGTGGGCCACCGGCCCTGCTTCCCGCGGCCTTGGCGGTACAGAGTGTGTCGCTACTATCGCCCGGGGCTGGGCTGCCAGCACCACAGGAACAGGTGCACCTTTGCCCGCAGCCCTGAGGAGGCGCTGGTCTGGACCTTCGAGCTGAAGCACAGCCTCTCCCGCCTGTGGCTGAAGGCTGCGGTGCAGGGCGATGGGGTCCAGGGCGGGCCGTGCAGGGCTGCTGACGCCATCCTGGCAGAGTTTGGTGGCCACTTCCAGCTGCTCTGTGCCCACTGCTTCAGGGCCCGGCCCCAGCATCTCTGCCCTGTGGACCCCCAGGGGCAGTGCCCCAAGCACAGAACCTGCCCTGCACTCCTGGTGCACGTCAGTACCAAGGGCCGTAAGCGCCAGTTCACCGAGGTGCGGCCCAAGCCCCAGAATGGCCAGCCGCTGCACTACTGCATGTTTGTGGAGCAGGGACAGCCGTGCCGCCACGGGGCAGCCCGCTGCCAGTTTGCACACAGTGCTGTAGAGATGGCCGTGTGGGAGGCCGAGCAGCTGGGTGGGCTTGAGCGGGAGGCCCTGCGCACATTCCCTGCCCTCGGCAGAGACAAGTGCATGGGCCCCCATGGCCAGTGCCCCAGGGGCAGCCAGCCCCCCGAGGTAGAGCTGTACTGCTACACCTGCCTGGTAACCTACCGCTCTCAAGAGGCCTTCGAGAACCACTGCGCCTCCCTGGAGCACTCGCAGATGGTGGCCTTCGACCAGGCTGTACCCTGGGAGCACCGCGTCCCCCCCATGGGGCTCTCCAAGTTTGAGCTCTGCGCAAGGTAAGTACAGTCAGGTGGGGCCTGGAGGCTGGGGCGAACCCCTCGCTGACCAGCACCAGGGCTCAGGGGGTTCACTGTTTCTGAGGCTTCCTTGCCACCTGCTGCATCTTCTGTGTGCCAGGCTGGCACCCCAGTGGCCTCTGACGACCCCCTGGGTGGGGAAGGTCCTTTGTTGGGTACGGTCTGTGCCAGGCCTGGTCCTGGGGACATAGGAGTGGACAGCAGATGGAGTCCATGCCCCCCAGCCTGGATACCATTCCCACTTCCCATGCAGGGAAAGACTGGGGCTGGGCTGAGGGGTCCTGGCCTTTGCTCCCACCCCGAGGCTGCACCCAAGTGGCCTGCTAACCTCCCCGCCCTCCAGGCCTGACCTCTGTGAGTATGGGGCCACCTGCACCAAGGCTCACTCAGAACAGGAGCTGCAGGAGTGGATCCGGCGGGCGCAGGCCACAGAGCTGCGGGAGCAGGCAGCCTGGCAGGACGGGCTGGTGTCATACCAGGCACGGCTGCTGGTGGAGTACCGGTGCAGCAGCAGTGAGGTCCCAGTGGTAAGCAGCAACCATGGCAGTGGGTGGGGAGGGCCCAGGGCACCTGCTGAAGGCCGCTTCTTTGTGCAGATGGCGGAGACCATCTGTGGCGTGTCTGTCACCTGCCGCCAGCCCCTAGTCCATCGGGCCCAGGAGAAGAAGACCCAGCACAGCTGGGTGTTCTCTGTCTACTCTGAGGTAGGGTTCACACAGCCCTGAGGTGTGGGGGACCAGCCCCAGTCCAGGTGGAGGGGCACCCACAGGAGCGGGAGCACAGTGGGGCAGGCATGGAGAGCCCCTGGTATGCAGCTGACCCGAGGCTCCCCCCTGAGTCTGTGTGACACAGGACGAGTCCGTGGCCTTTCTGCTTCAGTCTCCTCATCTGCAGACAGTGACTGTGTCAGCCCCAGCCAGTGGGGTTGCTCTGCAGAGTGAGCAAGTTCCTGTGAGGGTCTGGTGGCCTCAGAGCGGGTGAGGCTGGTGACCAAACAGCACGCAATGGCCCCAGGCCGTCCACCTCACCTGCTGACATCCACAGGGCTTCAGGCAGCTTCCCTGGCCCCACATTGCATAAGAGGAAACCAGGGTTCAGAGAGGCAAAACAACCCGTGGGTCCTCTACCCAAAAAGTGGCTCAAACCACCTCTCGGGAGGGTGGGAGGCCCCTGGTGTGGTGGTGCACACCCATTATCCCCGCACTTGGAAGGCCGAGGCAGGAGGCCGGCCTGAGCTACAGAGTGAGTTCAAGACCAGCCTGAACTACATGGAGAGAGCCTCTGTCTCAAAAACCTGGGGGAAAATGTAGGGCAGGCAGGGTCTGGGTACCACACTGATGGCTGAGAGGGTTTGGGGCCACCTCACGTCCAGTCTCCCTCCCCAGGACCCTCTGCTGCATGTGGCCTTGCTTAAGCAGGAGCCTGGAGCAGACTTCTTCCTGGTGGCACCCTGCCTCCCCAAGGGCCGGCTCTATGCAAGTGGGGAGCACTTTCGGGTGCCCAGCTCCCGAGCGGAGTTTCAGGTGGGAGTGCGGGTCCAGACTGCCTCCTTTGGCACCTTCGAGCAATGGGTGGTCTTTGACTTTGGCCGTCGGCCAGTGCTGCTTCGGAAGCTGTGGCTGCAGCTGGGCCAGGCTCTCTGCTCGGAGCTCACCAGGAGGCCAGCACCTGGCTGGCCTGAGGAGGTGGACCTGTGGCACACTGGCAACCGCCACATGGTGCCTTGTGTGGAGCGGACAGCCGAGCAGGCAGCCCTGATGACCAAGTACAAGGTGCCCAGCCTGGCCCTGAAGGTCGGTCACGGCAGCCTGGCCTCGGAACCCATCTCTCGAGCCAACTACCGGCAGAGCATGCACCACTTCCTCTATGAGGAGGAGGCTGCTCGGCGGCAGCTGGTGGCCAAGTGAGTTGGGCTGGAAGGTGGCAGGGATGGCTGGGGGTCCTCGGTCTGAGGCTCAGGCCCAGGGAGCTGATGAAGGTTCTCTGGCATACCAGGCTGACCCTGCGGGGCCGGGTGTCCCTGAAGACTTCACTGCAGACAGCGGCACTCGGCATGCTCTTTGCGCCCCCAGGAGCCCTCTATGCTGAGGTCCTGGTCCCTTCTTCTCTGACACCAGACACGGACCAGGGCTTCCTGCTGAGCCGGGAGGTCAGCACAGCCCTCGTGGCCCCTGTGCCTGCGCCTGACAGCACTGTGTTCGAGGTGCGACTTGAGAAGCGAGCCAGCTCGGAGCAGACATTGTGGCTGCTGCTGCCCACACACTGCTGTGTGGCCCTGGGGCTGCGGGCTGAGGGGAGCCCCATCTTGGAAGTGCAGTTCCAGATTGACCCGCTCAACTTCTGGTTCTGGCATCAGGCAGTAGATGCATTGCCTGAGGAGCACCTGGTGGTGCCCAACCTGCCCACCTGTGCCCTGCCCTGTCCTCGCCCGATCCCACCCTTGCTTCGTGGCAACCGCAAGCAGAAACTGGCTGTGGGGCTCATTGCAGGCAGCAGTGCCGGGAGCGCAAAGCCTGTGCCTCCATTGCTCATCTATGGCCCCTTTGGCACCGGCAAGACCTACACCCTGGCCATGGCCACCCTGGAGGTTGTTCAGCAGCCCCACACCAAGGTGCTCATCTGCACGCACACCAACAGGTGAGCCCGCAGCCCTGGCCCTGGCCTGCCGCCATGGCGCTGCTTCAGGGTTCCATCCCAACTGGGGCTTCTTCCAATGGCAGCTGCCCGGTGGCTCAGTTGTTTGGGTGAGGACTGAAGGGTCCCTCCCCAGAGGTTCTGGACCCCGGCGAGTTGGAGGTAGGGATGTGGCTTGGTCTACCCAGCATTTCTGGGCAATGCTCTTTGTTTTGTGTTTTCAGAGACTCAGGTTTCGCAACAGAGAAGTTCCTTGATGGCCAATATGGTTTTCTTAGTGCCCTAACATCAGATACGGTGTTCCTAATGACAAAGTTATGGTCCTGTGACTAGGATGTTAAATTAAATTGGTCACTAAATGAGGAATTGTATATAGTATGTATGTAACAATATTCAGAACAAGGAGATGAAAGAAAGGAAACTCCAACTTGATGGCTTTGGTTTTATTTACATAACTCTTACACGCAGCGCTGTAACGTACAACAACATAAAACTACAGTACTGCCCTGTACAGTACAATTAGCAAAAATGACGGTGCTGTACTGGAGAAGAAGCCACCACCAGGCTGCACTGCCGCTGGCACTCCTGGGTCCTGAGTCTGAATCCAAGTCTAAGTCTGAACAGTGGGTAAACAGGTGGGGCCTTAAGCGAGGAGCATTGTGGTGCACAGTGCAGAGCTCGGGTGGAAGGCAAGCCTGTCTGCAGTGTCTGGGAGCCAGCAGGGCAGGTGATGTCCTGCTGGGAAGGTGCCCACAGCCCTCCCTGGCCTCCTGACCCTTGGACTCTACTCCTAGAGTAGGGTGCCAACTTCGCTGCCCCCACTGACAGTGCTGGGAGCCACCTCAAGGTCAGCACTACCCTGGGCCGCCTGGGTCATGGCGACTCCTTCGCCTATGGCCACCCAGGCACTCCTGCTCCTGCTCAGTCCTCTTCACTGTCTCTGACCCTTCTGTGCCGTGTGTCTGGCCCCCCTGTGGACACGCACGCTCCTGGCAGCACCTGTCTGCACCTCCCTGACATCCTGGCCTGTCTGAGCACACAGCAGGCATTTCGACAGAGTGAGCAGCCCACTCGCCTCGTCCCTTCCACAGTGCCGCCGACATCTACATCAGGGAGTATTTCCATGGCCATGTTGCCAGGGGCCACGTTGAGGCAGCTCCTCTCCGGGTGATGTACACTGACAGGCCGCCAAACCAGACCGACCCAACCACACTGCAGTACTGCTGCCTGACAGAGGACGCCCGGGCCTTCCGCCTGCCCACGAAGGCAGAGCTGGCGGAGCACCGCGTGGTCGTCACCACTACCTCACAGGCCCGTGAGCTCCGCGTGCCTGCTGGCTTCTTCTCCCACATCCTCATCGACGAGGCCGCCCAGATGCTGGAGTGTGAGGCCCTCACTCCGCTGGCCTACGCCTCACCACGCACCCACGTGGTGCTGGCCGGGGACCACCTGCAGGTCACACCCAGGCTCTTCAGTGTGCCCAGGGCCAAGGCTGCTGGGCACACCCTGCTGTACCGCCTTTTCCTGCACTATCAGCAGGAGGCCCACGAGATCGCTCGGCAGAGCCGCATTATCTTTCATGAGAACTACCGCTCCACCACCGCCATCATTGGCTTCATCTCGCGCCACTTCTATGTGGCCAAGGGCAACCCCATCCAGGCCAGTGGCAAGGTCCCAGCCCACCCCCGACAGTACCCACTCATGTTCTGCCATGTGGCAGGCACCCCGGAGCAGGACATGTCCATGATGTCCTGGCTGAACCCGGCGGAGGTCACACAGGTGGTGGAGAAGGTGCAGGAGGTCTACAACACCTGGCCCCACTGCTGGGGGGTCCGGGAGCAGAGAAGCATCTGTGCCATTTCCCACGGTGCTCAGGTGAGCCTGGCCAACTGACCCCTCAGGCCGTTTCTCCAGCTGTGCGGGAAGCTTCTGCATGCACCTTCCCGGCTGAACCTCGAGACTGGAGCCAGGGCTGCAGACTGAGGGTGGCCAGGGCTCAGTGGGAGGCCCTCCTTCTGGGCATCAGACTCCTCATGCATGGGCCTGTGTCGTCTCCAGGTCAGCGCACTGAGGCAGGAGCTGAGGAGGAGGAACCTGGGAGAGGTGTCTGTGGGCAGCTTTGAGACCCTGCCAGGTGGGTGAGCAGCAGGGCCTGATCTGCCCCACCCTTCAGCCTTGCAGCAGCAGGGGCTGGGCTGGGGGCAGAAGCCTGCCCACTGGCAGCCTGGCAGCCTGACACTTGTCCCCCTGCAGGGCGGGAGTTCCGGGTGGTGGTGCTGAGCACTGTCCACAACTGCCACAGCCTGCTCAGCCGGGGGGCGCCCACCTTGGAGTTCTTCACCGATGCTCGTGTGCTGAACACAGTCATGACCCGTGCCCAGTCCCAGGTGGTGGCTGTAGGCGACGCCATGGCCCTCTGCTCCTTCGGGGCCTGCAGCAAGCTCTGGAAGAGCTTCATCCAAGAATGCACGGAGCACCGTAGCATCTTCCCGGAGGGGCTGTCGCTGGGGCAGATTGAGCAGGGTGTGGCCCAGAGGCAGCACTGGGCCCCTGTGGCCCTCAGAGCAGAGAGAACATGGGCATCAGTAGTGAGGGACACTGGCTGGACGGGGCAGCCAGGGGCCCTGGACAGGGCAGCCAGGGGCCCTGCCACAGAGCACACAGCTATAGCAAAGGTCCCACCAGGGCCTGTGACGATGAAGAGTGAGGCCACAGGGACAGGAGACACAGCTGTTGGGGATCCAGCATCAAGAGGACCAGCCACGACACAGATAAAGGCTGAATCAGGAGGGGACACAGCAAAGGGAGACCCGGCAGGAAGACCAGCCACCCTGGAGGGCAGAGGGTCTGAGGGCCCTGAGGACTCAGAGTCAGACTTCTGGGCCTCTGACTGTGAGCTCAACGCTGACGACACCATCCTGCAGGAGCTCCTGGATGAGACCCGGCAGGTGACGGTGACTGTTGGGGAGGACGGACTCCTGGACACCCTGGCCAGGCCTGCCTCCTCACGGCTGCCCTGGCAGTACAAAAACCTGCCCTTGGGCACACTGCGGAACCTCATGCGCTCAGAGCCTGGGCTCTATCGCCGCTGCACCTTCCTGAAAGAGACCTTCGAGCGGGCATCAGCCATCCCCCTGGATGAGGCGGTCTCCAGCCCCATCCAGGTCAGGGGTCGCCTGAACTGCGGGATGGCCTTCACGGGGGACAAGGTGCTGGTGCAGGTCCTGGGCCAGTCGGCTGGTGACGAGGCTGCCCCAGAGAGGCTACAGGGCCGCGTGGTGGGTGTGCTGAAGAGGAAGAAATGTGAGCTGGCATTTGTGTGCCGGATGGACAAATGGGATCCCCGAATCATGATCCCCATCAACAGCTCTGTGACCAAGATCTTCGTAGCTGATCTGAAGGACCCGCTTCGGGTTCCCATCCACCGCCTCCTTCAGGGCCGAGTGCAGTGTGTGGGACACAAGAGTCTCACTGCCGAGGGCAGGCACACACAGCTCTTCTGGGTCCGCATCATCCTGTGGCGGGAGCGTTTCTATTACCCCCTGGGCATCATCCTGGAGGTGCTTCCTGAGGCCACCAGCTGGGAACAGGGCCTCCACATCCTTGGCCTGGAGCACGGCTTGCAAACCTCCGTGCCGGACTCAGCCTCTGTCTCCAAGGCACTGCAGAAATACCGTGTGGATCTTGGCACAGCTGCTGGCCACAGAGAGGACTGCCGCAGCTTCCTGACATTCACTGTGGACCCACAGGGCGCTTGCAACCTGGACGATGCCCTCAGTGTCCGGGACCTGGGTCCCAGGTACGAGGTGGCTGTGCACATTGCTGACGTGGCCAGTGTTGTGCCCAGGGACGGGGTGCTGGACGTGGAGGCCCGCCGGCAGGGTGCTGTGTTCTATGCCCCCGACAGGGAGCCAGTGTCCATGCTGCCGGCCAGCCTGTGCCGAGATGTGCTCAGCCTCCTGCCGGGCAAGGACCGCCTCGCCATCTCCCTCTTCCTAACCCTGGACAAGGACAGCAGCCAGCTCAGGGGCCTGCGCTTTGCACCCTCAGTTGTCTGCTCTGACAGGCAGCTGTCCTACGAGGAGGCCGAGGTGCTGATCAGGGAGCACCAGGGTGCTGGCATGGAGCTGCCGGCGTGCCTGGACTCAGTGGAGGCCTGTGTGGTGGCTGCCTGCTACTTCTCCCGGGTGCTGCGCCGGCGTCGGCTGCAAGCTGCCTGCCACTATGAGGCCCCAGATGAGGAGAGCACCCTGGGCTTCCGTGCAGCCCACATCATGGTCCAAGAGTACATGATTCAGTTTAACAGCCTGGTGGCTGAATTCCTGGTGGGCAACAAGCACACACAGGCGGTCACGCCCCTGAGATGCCAGCCCACACCCCTGATGGCCCAGCTTCAAGCCGTGTGTGAGAAGCACAGAGAACTGGTGCCCCTGTCACTGCACCTCCGCCACCACTTGCAAGGCCATAGCAGCCCCAAAACACAGCTGCACCTCCTGTCTTCCCTCTGGAAGCAGGTCCAGCTTGCTGCCCACAGCCAGGATTATGGCCAGATGGTGGATCTCATTACCACTGACGACATGCACCCCTCCCTGGCTCCCGTGGGCCTGGACCTCCGCAAGGCCCTGGGCCGCTCTGGTTTTGGCCGCTCCAGCCAGGGTGGACAGCAGCTCATTGGCCACTACTCGTTGCAGGTGGGCTGCTACACATGGGCCACATCGCCCATCCGCAGATACCTCGATGTGGTGTTGCAGCGGCTGATCCTACTAGCTCTGGGCCGAGGGGGCTGCGTGTACTCCTCCAGAGACATCGATGGGCTCTGCCAAGACTTCGCCCGCCAGCATGCATCCGCCCAGAGCTACCAGCGACAGGCCTACAGCCTGCGCCTGGCCACTCAGCTCAAGGCTCAGCCTCGAGACAAGCTGGGCGTGGTAGTAGATGTGGAGCCAGGCACCCACTGCTTCAAGTTACTCTTCCCGGCCAACCGAGAGAGCCTGCCCGACCTGTGCCCTGTCCATTATCACTCCCTGCAGCTGGCTGAGCACCCCCACGACCTCAAGGACCGGCGGGGCCTACGCCTTGTGTGGCGGCGCCGCACCTACTCTGTGCAGGAGTCCAAGCTGCCCTCTCCACTGCCTGGCACCCTGTTTGACCCACACGTCTGGACCATCAACACAACCCTGTGGAAGCAGCTGCTGGTGCTGGTGGAGCAGGACCGCTGGCTGGAGGCAGCCACCCTCATCCAGGAGCAAAGAGGGAGGGAATGTCAAAAGCGGAAGGTGGTGCAGGTGAACCGGAGCCCCTGTGGCCACTTCCTGGAGGTGACCCGGGAGCTGGGCAGCGGCGACACTCTGCAGGTCCAGTTCAGTACCAGCATGCAGCGAGGCTTCCTGGTGCCTGCCCTGCAGCTGTGGACTGTGGCACCTGGCCTCAGTCTCTGCCTGGAGCATGCAGAGCATCCAGTCAGCTGCTTCTCAGGCCATGCACACCAAGCCCCACAGCACCAGTACTGTGACGAGGATCAGTACTCGCTCATATGGGGGCCGCTCTGTGCCCAGGAGTCGGTCACTGGTGCTGTTGCTGAGAACAATTCCATTGTGCTGCAGCACGTGTGCATTTCCTGGGATGCAGAGCGGACACAGCAGAGGCAGCTGCAGGGCACCTTCCACCTGGACCCTGCCTTCCTTCAGGAGAACTGCACTGATGTTGACTTCAGCTGCTGCTACCTCTGCATCCGGCTTGAGGGCCTCCCAGTGCCCCCAGCCAGCCCACCCCCTGGGCCCAGCAGCCTTGGCCCCTTCCTGAGCATCGATCCTGACACGTATGCCTGGGTGGCCCACGGGCTGACGGACAGCTGTGACCAGGAAGACCCGGCCGACCGGCAAGAGGCCCCCAGGAGGGTGCACTTCTTCATCCACCACATGGCCATGGAGAAAGTTCCGGAAAGTGCGCTGAGGCCCGGCACCCTATTCACGGTGGAGGTGTTGCTCAAGAAGCTTCCTGACCTGTGAGTGGCGCCACAGTCTGAGGCCAGGGAGAGGCCCAGATGGGTGGGTGGGTGCAGGCAGCCTTCCCCGAGACTTCCTGGTGACTTTCCAGTATCACCTGCAGCTGCAAGGAGCAAGCCGTGCGCAGGCTGAAGCAGGCATCTCCACTGGTCCTCAGCATTGCCCTTGGCCGACCCCTGCTGCAGCCTGACGGCCCCATTCACCAGCGGCCCTTCCACAGGGGTAGGTCCGCCCCAATCCCTCACTCCTCAGCCCTCCCTTCCCTGCCCTGCGTGGGTGCTCAGGGTGGGCTTCTCCATGCCTTCAGGGACTGCTGCCAGGCTCCTGAAGCAACAGGCCTACGACATCCCTGGGGGCTGCCCCAAGCTGAACGCCAGCCAGAACAGGGCCATCAGGCAGGCTCTGGAGAAGCCATTTACTGTCATTCAGGGCCCACCAGGTGGGGGCCCCCTAGGGGAGCAGGGGCGTCCCAGGGAAGGCACGGGTCATGGGGCCTGCAGAGCCTGGCTGTGCGCTGCTCACTCTGCTCTCCGGCCACAGGCACAGGGAAGACATTTGTGGGCCTCCACATCGTCTTCTGGTTCCACAAATCAAATCAGGAGCAAGTACCAAGGAGGAGAAGCTCTGACGGAGAGGAGCCACTGCAGGGCCCGTGCATCCTGTACTGTGGCCCCTCCAACAAGTCCGTGGATGTCCTGGCAGGTGTGCTGGGGCAGCTGGGGGCTTCGGGCCGCTGGGCGCTGGGGGACAGCTCCTCACGTCTCCCACTGCCCCAGGAATGCTCCTGGGCTGGCGGGCGGAGCTGAGGCCCTTGCGGGTGTACAGCGAGCAGTTCGAGGCCACTGAGTTTCCAGCACCGGCTGTGGGCAGCAGGGGGCTATACAACAAGGCTCCCCGGGAGGAGAGGCCGAGCCAGACCCTCAGGTGTGTCCCGCCTGTCTGCCTTTGTGCTCTGGGGGAGTCCAGACACCAGACAGGGCTCCCTGAGACTCTGCCTCCCACCCCAGGAGCATCTCCCTGCACCACCGTGTCCGGCGGGACCCCAACCCACATGCACCAAAGGTCAGGGAGTTTGACGCCCGGGTGAGCAGAGGGGAAGTCTTCTCCAAGGAGGACCTCATTTCGTAAGTGGCGGGGCTGGGAGGTGGACCTGCCTGCTGGCCGGCCGCGGGGTGACGGCAGTGTCCGGGCAGGTACAGGAGGGTCATGCGAGCGGCGCAGAAGTTCGAACTGGCCCGGCACTCTGTCATCCTGTGCACATGCTGCTGTGCGGCTTCACACTGCCTCCGAACCCTTAACGTCCGGCAGATCCTCATTGATGAGGCGGCCATGGCCACGGAGCCCGAGACCCTCATTCCTCTAGTGCACTTCTCGGAGGCCGAGAAGGTGAGGGGCCATTGGGGTTGCCAGTGGCCCAGGTGGGCATCACTAGGTGTGGCTGATCCTGGGTGCCCGGGTGTGCAGCAGTGAACACTGGGGAACCGAGAGGGTGGGGACCTGGGGAGCCCCTGGGTCAGGGATGTGGGGGCCACGCCTGCCTGTGCCTCCAGGTGGTCCTTCTTGGGGACCACAAGCAGCTGCGCCCTGTGGTCAAGAATGAGCAGCTGCAAAACCTGGGGATGGATAAGTCCCTCTTCGAGCGCTATCACAGGGATGCCTACATGCTGGACACCCAGTACCGGATGCACGAGGTCATCTGCGCCTTCCCCTCTGCGGAATTCTACGGTGGGAAGCTGAGGACCTGTCAGGGCCTGAGGCGGCCGCCCAGCATCCTGGGCCATGCGCACAAGGAGAGCTGCCCTGTCATCTTTGGCCATGTGCAGGGCCATGAACAGAGGCTGCTGGTGACCACAGAGGAAGGGAATGAGAATTCCAGGGCCAACCTGGAGGAGGTGGCAGAGGTGGTGAGTGTCAGAGGCCCTCCCCGGAAACTTGTGTGTCCGGGAAGGCTTCCTGGAGGAGGAACAGGAGTTGGGGCTGAGGGAACAAGTAAAGCTCCTGTGTCCGGTCCAGCTCCACCTGCCCCTTCATTCCCTCAGATCCGCATCACCAAGCAACTGACACTGGACCGGACAGTGGAGCCCAAAGACATTGCCATCCTCACCCCCTATAATGCACAGGCTGCGGCCATCAACAAGGGCCTCATGCGGGAGGGTGTCACCGGAGTGACCGTGTCCTCCATCACCAAGAGCCAGGGTGAGGTGGCTTTGAGGGAGGCTGCAGATGGGGGCTGTGACAGGCGCGAGGAGCAATGTCAAACCCATCCCTGCCCCCAGGAAGCGAGTGGCGCTATGTGCTGGTGAGCACTGTCCGCACGTGCCCCCGGAGCGATGTGGACTGCCGGCCAACGAAGGGCTGGCTCAGGAAGTTCCTGGGCTTTGTTGTGGACCCCAACCAAGTGAACGTGGCCATCACCCGGGCCCAGGAGGGGCTCTGCCTGATTGGTGAGGGCTCGGGGCCGGGTGGACTGGGGAAGGTGACTCCCAGGAGGCAAGGGCGGGCCTGTGAGCTGCCCCACTCTCCCCAGGAGACCACATCCTGCTGAGCTGCTGCCCCCTGTGGCGCCGCCTGCTGGATTTCTGCAGAGCCCAGCAAAGCTTCGTGCCTGCCAGCAAGGTGCGGGTCCGGAGGAGGCCAGCTGTGTCACTGTGAAGGTCCCCACCGCCCAGCTCTGCAGCGCCAGGGGTGTGGGCCTGTGGCAGCAGCAGACAGGACAACGGGAAGCAAGCCCTGTGTGATCTTCCTGTTTGTGCCTGAACTTGGGAGGAGGGAGAAAGGGGCCGGGCCTGTTTACTCTCTGCTTTGCTGATTTTCCCAGGACAGCCCCCAAAACCTGGACTTCAGGCAGATCCTTTCTCTGCCCTCACTGCCTTGTCCTTCAGAGGCTGCCAGGCCAGGGAGGGCAGAGCTGAGCCAGATGCCTGCCCCAGTCTGGCCCAGCCTCCTCCTGGGAGGTGAAGAGCTGTCAGTCCACTTGCATGCCGGGCGTGAGGTGCCCCAGCCCCACCAGGCTGTGTGCCTGCCCCGAGCTATGTGTGCCTTCCACCCAGGGTCCTTGGACCAACACAGTCACTGACCACCATGGGGACAAAGGACAGGCAGAAATGGGCCCTTAGCTGCTGCTCCTTATAAACATGATTAGTGTTTTCTTTGGAGATAGTCAGGGACTTAAAAGCAGTTGTCATCTACTAGCATGGGTCCTGGCTTTAGTGATAATGGACATGAAAACTAAAGCAGAAATTGTAGGAAAGGCTATAATTAAGAGAAAATAAGGAGGAGTGCAGTTCTGATAAAGATCAAGCCAATGCCTTAGAAAGCAAAGAGCAAGTAGGGAAAGGACCCCAGCTCCAGGCTGAGGGTCTCAGACTGGCCACTCCAGCCAGCTCTGCAGCACTCACTGGGCTGGGTTGGGGTCCAGGAGGTCACTCTCAACTCTGGTGTCTGGCTCTGGAGGAATCCTCCTGGCTTGAGGGACTTGAGGGCTGATTACATCCCCAGGAAATGATTATCTCTGTGGTGGTTTTGGTCATTTGAGGCTCTGTTCTTCCTGGTACCAAGGTCACCTTGTTCAAGATGACGGCTGGAGATTGTAGTCATCGCTCCAAGGGGAAAGGGTCTGGAACTGGATAGGATACAGGCTGGTAACTGGATGTCCTTCTGGATCTTGAAAATTACTTTAGTTACTTGGTGCCCTTCCTTGGAGGGGACTAAGATAGGCTAGGCAAATTTAAGGCTAATCAACTTTGTCAACTTAAAAAAAAAATGGTTGCTGGTTGCGGTGGTGCTGTAATCCCAGCACTTGGGAGGCTGAGGAAGGAGGGTTGCCATGAGTTCGAAGACAGCCTGGACTCCATAGTGAGTTCACCGCCAGCCTGAACTGCATACAGAGACCTTGTCTTCAAACAAACAAACAAAAAAAGGTTAACATACCTGTAGCCAATCTTTTTTTTTTTTTTAGTACCAGGGATCGAACTTGGGTCCTTGCGCTTGCGCAGCAGGCGGCAAAACCACTGAGCTAAATCCCTGGCCCTATAGCCAATCTTTTAAAGTAAAGAACACAAAATGAGGGTCTGGGATTTAGCTCAGTGGGACCATGCCTACCTTGAAAGTGCAAGGTCCTGAGTTTGATCCTTGGTACCAAAAAAAAAAAAAAAAGAACACAAAATGAAAGTCAAGCTTTATTCTACTTTAGTTAACCTACTGGGCTTTGTAGGTTCAAGAGAAGAGTCATGGTTTTTAGCAAAAAACTCATTTACATCCCTGACTATCTCAGAAGAAAACACAAATCATGCTTCTGATGAGTAGCCAGGTAAGGGCCCAGAAGTTAGTCCTTTGTCCCTACAGTGGCCTCTGACTATGTCTTGGTGACTACAGATGCCCAAGAGATAGCTAAAAGCAGAGACCACTTGATCTTCATTTCATAGAACTCTGGGTCAAGCCCCATCTCAGCTCAGCATGCAGGCAACTTAGAGAATGTCTGCCTCAAACTTGGCAAAACCAGCTCAAGTTTACATAAGCCATCTTCCCCCTTCAACACCGAGGATCCCAGGATAAGAGGTTTACAGGAATGGTCAGCTACACCCAGAGGTTGCCACTGCACTAAACCTGTGATGACCTTGGATTCCAGCAAAGCCTCAAAAGACTAAGGCTGCCCCAAGCAGAAACTGCGATCTTGTGGAAACTGAACTGGCCCCCCAGCAGAAAGGACTGCTCTCAGAGCCATCTTGCAAAAGCAGAGCTGAGGTGATCATCAGCCAGACTCAGCTCTCCAGCAAGTCTTCAAAGCCTGGCCGCATTATTTTGTGAAGGGGCCAGTCTGTGTGCCCTTCCAGGCATTCAAGCTGGAGTCCTTTTTCTGTTTCCACTTACTTTCCAACTCTGCCCAGCACATCGGCCGGTGCCTTATGCTGATGAGAGCTGTCCACACTACAAGGTGTGGGCCTCGCTGTGGGCTCCGCAGAGCACTCTGGGAGGCTTCCTATCCAAAGCAAATGTTCTTTACAAATCAAGTTTCTACATTCCAGTTTTTGTATCTTTTCACAAACTCTGTGTCATGATTGAATATTAATTTTATTACAAAGATCCATCGGAAGCTCTTCTTACTTCTGGGTCTTGAGGTCTGGCTGGGGCAAAGGGCCAGGCTCCATTCTTCTTGGGAGGGCCCTAGAGGCCATCGAGGGCTCGAAGAGGACACAATTCTGGGCCTGGGGCCTGAGCAGAGGGTGACGGCACCATCTGTGGCTGAGGGCACAGGAAGCTGGGTGGGTTGGGCGTGCCAAGGACAGGCCACAGCCGAGAGCCATGGTCAGGGCTGGGGGTACAGCCCGTGTGCTCAGTCCCCAGGCTATGCTGACCCCAAAGCAGCTTGTGGGGTGAAGGTGACTCTTGGAAGGTCTGAAATTGCTCCCTTGGGTGCCACAGCCCCCCTCCATGGTGACTTGGGACTCAGGATCTTTCAGCATTCAGCTTGTTTGCAGCCAGGTCTTCCCAGCACTAGCTGCACCCAGGAAAAGCACAGCAGGCCCCTGTCTTCTTGTGCCAGCCAGGGGTGGATTGGGTGGGTGGGAGGTCACAGAGAGACACTGGAGGGAAAGGAGGTTTCCCAGGGCCCACGTGCTGCCAGAGGGAAGGACAGCAGGAGTAGCTCCTCCGAGGTCGTTTCTGGGATGGTCATAAAAGTGAGTAGAGTTTTGGGGTATCTCCTGAGGTGAGTGGGCGTCCTTAGGCAAGCGCAGTGGGACTTCACAAGCCAGGAGCCAGGGAGGGCTTCCTAGAGGAAGGGGCCTTGAAACTGCAAAGGTATGTGTGGTGGGGGCAGGGACTGACAGGGGCCAGGCAATGAGGGTCGTGCGAAGAGCAAAGGCCTGGCTCCCAAGGGGCCAAGGGTGTGAAGGGCAGTGCAGGGTGAGCCTTTGCCCTAGCACCAACTGCCTCACCCAGGGGTGGCTCCATGCATGCCTACCTCTGTGCTGCTGTCTTCCTGTGCTCTGCCAGTGGACGCTCAAGGCCAGGAAGGGGTGAGGGACAGGAAGTGCCGAGACCTGGTAGCTGCCAGGTCGGTGTGCCAGGGCCTGGGACCCATCTGCACATCCCTTGGCCTCCAGCCCTGGCGAGGCCTCCCCTCTTCCAGTCCCACCCCTCCCTTGACTCAGGTCATTTCCAAGGAGCACGCCCATCTGCCCTGAGCCCTGGGATGGCCCTGACCAGTGGGGGACCCAGGCAGGAGCCCCTGAGTGTGACAGCCCGGGACAGCTCACAGGAACTGTGCAGAGGTCAGGAAAGGGAGCCCCACTCGCTCAAGCTCAGCCTGGCACAGTGCACCCCACATAGCTGGGGGAAGGTGGGCGATGGGACCCTTCTGACACAGCCAAGACCCCCACTCCCCCGCCCTCTGCAAGGCTCCTGCCCCTCCTGGAACTGATGACCTCAGGGGCCTGGTGTTCGTGACCAGTATGTGAACGGTGGGCAGAGGGGCTGGGCTCCGTCTGTCTGCCAGTTCCCTGGGCTCACCCCGGGTACATGGTGCTGGCCTTTTGGACCAGGACATGCATCTCCTGCAGCAACTGGGATAGATATGTCTGCTGGCTACGCCAGGGTTGAGAGACCAGGCTGGGGAACCCAGGCACAGCAAGGGCTCTGGCCAGCTGGGTGGGGCTGGATCAGCAGCAGCTGTCGAGGAGGGGCTCTGGCGGTCAAGTGACCACCCCGCAGTAGCTACCACACTAGCTGGTGTCTGGGGAGACTCTGGGCAGGCTCCCTTGCCCGAACCCAAACCCACTCAGGATGGGGGTGCCCATGAGCTTCAGCTCCTGTGGGATAAGGACTTTGGTTTTGAAAGTCAAATGTCCTCTTTGCCTCAGGCAACCTGACCCCAAGGAAGCCGGAACACCAGCATCAGGGCTGTGACTTCTCCCAGTGGTGTCCAGACAGGACCCCAAGTGTCATCCCCCTCAGTGAGCCCCAGCCGAGGAGACAAGAAAGTGGAGGCTGATTGCCAAGATAGGGGTTGGGGGTACTAGGGCGGAGGTGGCTGAGCCCCTTGCAGTAGCTCCCATCATGGAGGTGGCAGCCAGTGTCAGGGGGTCGTGCTTCTTGCTCCAGGGGCCAGCTGTCCTGAAAGGTCCAGCCTCGGGGTTCCCCTGGAAATGACTGTAGAGCTGAGGGGGTCCTGGGGCTATGGGGTGCTGGGCCATCAAGAAAACACTCACACGCCTGCTGCTGCCTTAAACCCTAAGCAGGTTTGTTTAATTCTGTGTAGGTATACTCCTCTTTATTAGTGGATAAATATTAGAAAATCATCTCTCAGAAGGTGCAGTCAAAGGCAGGCTGGGTTTTCCCAGCCGGGTGGGGGTGAGCCCCTCAGGGGGCCCCGGAGTGGTCTGCAGAGTAAGGCTGTCCTGCCAGGGCTCATACACCAGTGTGTAGCTCTCTGCCCTCTTGACAGTGAACTTGTAGGTGCGATTGGGCAGCAGGTTGTGGACTTCAAAGGTGCAGGCTGCCACGGAGATGACCCCACACTGCATGCATTCCTGCTGCGTTCGTGGCTCCAGCAGCTTGAAGCGCAGCTCAAACTGCTCCAGTGCTGCCTGCTGGACGGTGGCAAACCAGCGCAGGCTGACCCAGTCCCAGTGGGCCACTGACTCCTTCCGGTTAAACATGACCGGCATCTTGGTGCTCAGCATGAGCCGGATGTGTGGGATCTTGGTGGCTCCGATGTCAGACACCAGGTGGTGCTTGATATGCAGGCGGCTTGGTACCATCATGGCCAGGAAGTTGTCCATGACAGCGGACAAGTATGCTAGACGCTGTTCCACAAGTCCCCAGCCAGCCAGGAAAGGCCGCAGGTCTGGCGACTCAAGCAGGGAGTCCAGCTCCAGGCGGCCCTGGTCCAGCTGCTCCAGCAGGTCCCCAAGCAGCAGAAGCTGGATCTTTGTCTGTGCCGTGCCCACCTTCTTCATGCGCTGGAACCTGCAGGGGTCAATGAGCTGATACATAGTGCTGGGCAGCACCGGTGAGTTCTGGTTGCCCAGGGCCAGATGCTTGGGGAAGATCTCGATGTGGTAGGAGCACTTCCTGAGCAGCTGGATGCGGGCATGGTGGCACTTGAGCAGGTAGGGGCTCAGGTCCGAGGTCAGGAACTCCCGCAGGGTGTTGCGGCGCTCTGTGTAGGTCCTCCAGGCCTCCGGTTCCAGCAGCTGCTGATCCTCCACCTCCTCCGCGTGCAGAAAGCACTGTGAACTGTCCAGCTTCATCTTGTCCAGGCCCAGGCCTGCTACCTGGAAGGTCACTGGGAGCAGGCAGGGAGGGCTGTGCATGAGCTGCAATAGTCAGGCTGGCCTCTGCTGCCCACCCGGGCCCTCTGCCCTCCCCTGGGGCACTCGAGAGGAGGCTGGGGCAGGACAGGCAGAGGGCTGTGTAGCTGGACAAAAGTGGATGCTGGGGTCAGAAAACCTCTTCTGAGGGGCCAGTGTCCTTTGCAGTGATGAGACAGGGCAGGGCTAAGAGTGGGCTCTGGGGCAGAATAGTCTGGACAGAAACCCAGCCGCAGGCCAGCTGTGTGCTGGCGTGAGCCTCGCTTCCTCCTCTGACATGGGTGGAGCCCTTACTGCTATGGAGAGGACTCAGGGTAATCCTGAGAGGCTTGGCACACCCCCCTCACCCACCAGTTCCCCCTGGACCCCTCTGCATCCACGATGTTGCAGAGCAGAGGGATGGGGGTAGCTGAAGGCAGGGCCTGAGGAATCACCGTCATCCTAGCTCCTAGTGCTGAGCCCTCACGGCCCATGCTGGGCTTTGCATGCCCGTAAAGACTCACTGACTCCACAGGAAAGGGGCAGAGCCCACCCTGTCTCACAGATGGGGAGTTGAGGCTAAAAGCTCAGAGCTTGCCCTCCTTGGGTGCTTGGTAGGCAAACACTCCCACTGAGCTACACCTCCAGCCCTTTTTACTTTTTCATTTTGAGGCAGGATCTTGCTAAGTTTCGGGGACTGGCTTCAAACTTGTGATCTCCTGCCTCAGTCTCCTGAATAGCTGGGATTACAGGTATGTGCACTGCCCCCAGACAAGGCATCTCTATGTCGCTCGGGCTGGCCTCCAACTCCTGGGCTCAGAAGATCCTCCTGCCTCAGCTTCCCCAGTCGCTGGGACCACGGTGCACCCCGCTGTTCGGGCTGGTTCCGAGGCTTGAGCCCAGGACCCCAGGGTCCACAGTTCACCCTTGTCCCCGGACCCAGGTGTCCGGCTCTTTGTCAGTGGAGGAGCTGATGCACCGGCTGCAAGGCTGGCCACACTCGCTTCACCTCTGACCCCCAGCACGCTCCCCCCAGACTCCCTAGTCCCAGCCGATCCCCACCCCTCGCTTCCGTGCCTAGTCCTGAACCCCTCGACCTACCCCTCGTCCGCCTGAGCACCCACCCTTCTCTCCGAGTCAGGCCCCCTACCCGGCCTGGGCCAGGCCTCTAGGCGCGCGGAGACCTGTGGCAAACTGTCCAGGGCCTTCCGCTCCGGCCCCGCGCAGCCAGCCCCGGGTTGCCATGGAGACCGGAAGCCATTGTGACGCCCTATCCGGCCAGCCCGGGTGAGGGACTGGAGGGAAACAAGTTGTCCACCACACCGCAGGGCGAGCCGCAGCCGGGCGGGTCGTGGGTTGTGGGGGTGAAGCTCCCTCAGAAGAGGCCTGGTCTCCGCCCCCCAGGGCACCACGTTGGCCTGGGCCCCTATACTTGGGGGTCTCTGAGTGCGGGAAGGGCCGTCCAGCTGGCGCCTGAACGCCATCCCGGCATCTCGGGGAGAGGAGAGGAGAGGAGGTGACCGGGAACCCGTGGATGGGGTCCCCTTGTGAAGCAGGCGGCAGGGGAGTCAGCGGCAGCTTCTCTCACAGGCTCCCTGTGCTGAGGCCTTTCCAAGCTCAAGCTTTGGTCTGGGCCTGGATAAACGGGGTCTCCATGTCTCCAGGGAGCCCCCAAGGGAGTTTTCAGGCTCTCCATTCCACCTGTACCCCAAAACTGGACAAAGGACCTGTGGGGTCACCACCCAGCACCCCCACCAGGAAGCCAACCTGGGATCTCCCCGGCAACATCCTAGATACCCCAAGGTGCCCGCCTTACCTTGGGGAGGATGGAGACTGGAGGAACCCCTTCCCGAGGAGGTCGGGCCACCCTTCCCAAGAGGACACTGTCCCCAAGTCCTCCCCTGGGTGATCCCCCCTCTCGGGAGGCGGCTTCCTGCCCCTACCCATCCAGCTGCCCACAGGCCTGAGGCTGGAGACCAGGTCGCTGGGTGGGCAGTGCTGATTCTGCCCCTCTGGGCTCCTGCTCAATAAATGCTAATGGTGGTCCCTCGTGTTGGTTTGGGGTTTTGTTTTCTTTTTCTTTTTAATATTCATTCTATAATTTAATCTTTTTATGTCTTAACTTCTGAAATATATTACTATCGAATTCAATTCATACCAGCTGGTATTTCTGTCACCCGGTGTCAGAACCCCTTTGACGAGATGGAGGAGACACATTTCTGCATCCCAGAGAAGCGAAGTGGGGAAGCAGAACGTGCTACCATGTGTGTGCGGCCTGATTGCTGGTCAGCTTCGTCTTGTATGACTCAGCTTTCAACTGGATCAAACCTTCGGATCAGATCTTCAGCTGGTCTTCTGAAGAACAGGTCTATATTGTTTGGTAGTTTTGAACAGTGCTTTGTCCATAGTAGACACTCGACAAACTACTATAGATTTTAACTAACTCAGGGACGTAGATCTCATCTCTGATTTAATCAGTGGTAGCATTTAAGTTTTCTATTTTCATGTCTATTCAACTATTACCATTAAACTCTTTAGAATCTCTCTCTCATCTTTCTCTAAATTGCCCAGGCTAGCCTCAAACTCTTGGGATCAAGTTGTCCTATTGCTTCAGCCTCTCAGGTACTGGAAACTGCAGGCACACACCACTGAACTCAGCTCCAAAATGTTTATTATGGCTAAACCTTGGAGGCGAGGGTTGTAGCTCAGTGGCAGAGCATACCCGTATGTGTGTGTGTGTGACCCTGGGTTTGATCTGCTGCAAAAAAGAATGTATATCTACAATTTCATCTCCATGGGTATTCCAGGAGTTCTTATTATTTCATTTAAGAAGCCTTTGGAATAAAATGTTAATAATTGAAGATGTTTGTTTGAATCTATCAATATGGCATATTTATAATTAAGTTTATTGGTACATTTTAGGTATACATAATGATCACATTCATCATAGGGAATTTGTACCTGTAAATGATATATCTTGATTCTTATTTTTTCCCATTCCTCTACCTTCCCTTCAACCCCTCTTCCCCTCATTTACAAAAACTTTGTTTCCATTTTTTCCTTCTTTTCTCATTTTTCCTTTCCCTGCCCCTCTCCCTAGTTCCCCCCGCCCATTTGAACAATTTCTTCCTATTTCACAATATTTATTATACATTTTGGTCCTCATTTACACTCTCAGTTTCTCATGCCAGAGAAACAATGCAGTATTTACACATGTGTGTCTGATTTGTTTCAGTTAAGAGTATAATCTCAAGGTGTATCCATTTAGCTTTATATGTCTCATTTTCTTTCTTTATGGCTGGGTAGTACTCTACTGTATAAAAAAAACCCCACATCTTTATCCATTCATCAGTTGATGGAGATTTGGGCTGTTTCCAAGATTTAGCCATTAAAAACTGTGCTGCTATGAACATGGGTGTGCATATGTCGCTGTGGTGTGATGTTTTTAATTCTTTTGGGAAGATACTGAGAAGGGGAATAGCTGGTTCAAATGGGACCTCTAGTTTTAGGTTTTTGAAGACTCTCCACACTGATTTCCACAGTGGCTGCACCGGTCCGCACTCCCACCAACAGTGGAGAAGGGTTCCTTTCCCGCACAGCCCCGCCAGCATTTGTTATTGATTTCTTGATAGCAGCCATTCTTTCTGCAGATGGAATATCAGAGTTGTTTTCATCTGCATCTCTCGAATGACCAGTGATGTTGAACATTTTTTCATATGCTTATTTGCTGGTTCTACTTTGTCTGAGAAATGTCTGTTCATTTCAGATCCCCCTTTTTGGATTGGGTCTTTAAATTTGGGGGGGTCTGATTTTTTTTTTAAGTTCTTTATATATTCTAGATAGTAGTCCTTTGACTGGGGAACAGCTGCTAAAATTTTTTTGCCAGCACTCTGTTGGTGGTCTCACTTGCCTTGCAAAATCTTCTTTTGTTTGTTTCTTTGAGCTAGGGTCTCCATATGTGGTTCAGGCTGGCCTTGAACTCGGTGATTGTCCTGCCTCAGCCTTCCAAGTGCTGGGATTACAGGCGAGTGCTGGTTGTTGTTGGCTTAAGGGTCTGAGAGACAAAAGCTAGAGCATTTGGACAAAGGGGTGCTGTCTGAAGGCCTGGGGGGCTGGCACCTGGGAGCAGAGAGGGCAGGAAAGCAGCAGCAGGAGGCCCCTCTCCCAGGAGGCTGTGGTGGCCGAGCATGCCCCTCCTCTCTGGGGCCAGCCAGGCCCTGGGCTTCTGCCTGCTCCTCGGCTCCACCCTGCCCCACTTTTTTTTTCTATTCCTAATTTCCCATCTAATTTTCAATTAAACTTTTCATTTTGAGATAGGTCAATTCCCAGACAGTTGTGAGGAGGAACCGATTCCTTTCCTACTGTCCTCCCATCACCCTGCAGAGCTGCAGCACAAGTCACACCAGGACACTGGCACTGACAGACGCAGGGGAGTCCACACCCACAGGAGCCCACCTGCCCCCGGCCACCCTCCTTGGCCTCTGCAGTCACCGCCAGCTCCGTGGTGTCCCTCCAGCAAGTCCGCAGCCCTGTCCCTGCTGCTCTGGACAGTGTGTTGCGGCCTTGCCTTGCACTGCTGAGCCACACGTGGCCAGGGATGCATGCTTGTTGTCAGTGTGTGAGCCAGGGTGTCTGAGAGAGGACAGTGAGCACGGAGAGGCTCAGCACCGTGTCTATGGGCGGCAAGTCCACGGCAGGGTTCGGAGCTGGGCCACCTGCCCCTGCCCCCAGCAAGCCTCCCACATCCTCTCTCCCTCTGCACCCCCACCTGGCCAGTGGGGCACTGAGTGGCAGAGCCAAGGGAGGGTGGGCAGCACAGCTGCCTGCCGGGCCGAGTTGTGTAGGTGTGTGAGGTGAAGAGGGAAGAATGTGGCCAGAAGCTCCAGGGGGGGACAGGGCACTGCAGACCTTGGGAGCTCAGGCTGACGCTGAGGCTGTGGCACCATCACCTGGCTTGTGAGGTCTGGAAAGGGAAGACTGGAGGGTGCAGGGAGAGGGAGGACATGGGCCTGGGGGCTAGAGGAGGGGGCCACGTTGGCACAGAGGGGCTCCCTAGGCAGAGGACACAGGTTGGATGGCACCCGTGCAGCTGGCACCAGGGCTGGGGCCTGGCACCTGGTCAGCTGACTGCAGGGTGCGGAAGGGGTATGGTGTGGGCCCTGCTGGGTCAGGACCGGCTGTTATGGCACAGTGTGGGAGGTGTAGGGTGTAGGTGTGGAGGAGCAGGTCAGGGCACAGGGTCGGTGGGTGCAGCATGAGGGTTGCAGGCTAGGGTAGGCTGAAAGGTCAGGCTGCAGAGCCCGCTGGGTTGGACAGTCCAGGGACGGATGGCCCATTTCCCCGGGGCACTCTGTGGCCTGGTCACTGAAGACCCTCTGGGCCTCTCCCTCTCTGGGGGGTCCTGGGGGTTTAGACCTTCCGTTCGGGTCACCAGGAGATCAGTGGGCCTTCTTTGGGAGCTGAGTCCCCATTGGCCCACGGATTCCCCTCTCAGTCTTGCCCAGGGAGGGAGGAAGGAGGAAGAAGACTGCTCCGCCTTGGAGCCCTTTTCAACAGCAGTAGCATGGGTGGGCAGGCTTCTGTGCTGTCACTGCCCCTCTTCCCCTCTGACTCTGCCACTGACCCGCCACCTGCCCCTGGGCTCCAGCTGCACACGGAATGTGCCGAGTCTAGAGGCCAGGACTGTGTGGCTTTGCAAGACAGGCAATATCTGAGGAATCGGCCTTCAGTTTCCCAGTGCGTGACCCCCGCAAGGTCTCCTGGGGTGGGGGTGGGGCTCTCACAGCCAAAGGAGGCCTCCCTATGGCTTCTCAGTTGGAGACGGGAAGCTGGGTTTCCTGCCAGGTTTCCTGCAAAACTAGATATGGAGGACTTAAGGGAACTGCTGTACAAAAACCCTGGCAGGCAAATGGAAGGCAGACGATGGGGAAAATCTGAGCAGGGCTGTGCAGCGAGAGCCTCGGAGGCACGCCCAAGGCCTCCTCGATTGTGCATTTGCCACGGTATTCTTCTGGAGCCCCTCACCCCCAGCGAGCTGAGTCTCCACTTGTACCGCCCGGGGCCCGTGGCCCTCAAGCTGCGCTCGCTGTGGGCAGGGGCTTGGCCATCTGGCCTCTTGCCAGAGGAGTGGTGCACTCGAGGATTACAGCTGCGTCCCATCCCCACGAGGGCCAGCTATCCAGGAAGCTCTCCGTCTGCACTGGGCACAGCGTGGGAAGCCCCTTCACCGCATGTTCAACCAGAAGAGCTGTGGGGGAGTCTGTGGCAATCCTGTGTGGGCGCGAGGATTGGGAAAGACGCTTAGGTGCTGCAGGGGAGCCGTGAGCAAGCGGAAGAGCTGCCAGGGGGGACCCCAGACCCTGCCCCGTGACTGTGCTGGAGCACTGGGCTGGCTGGGTCTTGCTGCCCTCTCCTGCCCCTCTGAGGGCCGCCAGGGGCGGACAGTTCGCTTCAGCTGCAGCCTGGGCCGTCTGGGACTTGCCGGCCACCCCTTGCCACGTGCTGCTCACCGGGCAGGCCCATGACCCCACGCAGGGGCCCAGATGTCCCGAGCCGCCTCCCTGCCAGGCGGCGGAGTAGCCCTGAAGCCACGTGCCCCGTCACCGGTGTCTGGTGCTCCCTGTCCACCTGCCCTCCCCTAAGCCCCTGCGTCACCACCGTTCCATTTTCAACTGGAGAACTGGGACACTAGAAGCCTCCCGGTCCCTGTCCCCTCTGCGGTGCAGAGGCCGCCGCGGGGCTCGCTTTTGTGATGCCGGAAGGTTTGGCCAACATTTTCATACAAGTCCAGCTGACGGTGCTGAGGAGGCCAGCGCTCTGCCCGGGAGGCGGCTGGCTGGGGCTAGGCGCACTCGGCGGGCCTGGGAGCACAGAGCCAGTCCTGAGGCTGGGACCTGGGCTTGCGGGGCAGAGCCGCCAGTCTAGTCCTCTCCCGGCCTCGCCCTCGGCCCCGCCCAGTGCTCTGGCTTCCCGCAGTGGCTCTCACCTATGGGCCCGGCAGATCCTGCCGCCGCACCCCAGGCATCCAGGAAGGCGGCTGTGCGATCGGGGCTGGGTCCGCCAGGAGGCAGGGGGGCCGCGCCCCGTGGAGGGCGCCCCCGGAGTGGCCGCGGGTCGGCGCTGCCTGTCACCCGCACCTGGCTGTCCCCACCGACCCTGCCGGATTCTCGCTCAAACTGGGCCTCCCCATGGGCCTCCGGCGGCACCGCAGCCTGACGCCCGCCTGGGGCGTGGAGCCCTTCCTCAGGAGGCGCCTGCGTGTCTGTCCTTTTGGGACAAGATCTGGCCGGCGGAGGAGCCAGAGGACGACGTCCCGGCGGCGCCGGGCCCCGACGCTGAGCCGCGAGCGCAGCTCTTCCGCGCGCTCCGCGACTTCGCGGCTCGCTGCCGCGGGGACCGGGAGGCGAACTGCGTCTTCGCCCGCGGGCTCTCCGGCCGACCCAGCGCCGGGCTGGTGCCCATCACCTACGCGGCCGCGGCTGCTCCGGAGACGCTTGCAGAGCAGCCGTGAGTACCCGCGCCCGGGCCAGCGCCCTGCGGGGCTTGGGTGGGAATTGGGCTCCGGGTGTCCCTGGACGCCAGGCTGAGCAGGCCGGTGTGGAGGCAGACTTGGGAGCAGGGCTACTGTTCTGCTCAGGGGGCGTCCCAGGCACGGACGGTCTGGGCGAGGCTGCGTGTGTCAGGGCTCAGGTCGGGGCGGTCACCCAGCGGCTTCTGCTGGAAGGGCAGGGCTTGGGAGGCGCCAGGTGAGGTGGGGACATGCGACTCCTGGAGCTCGTGGCAGAGATGTGGTTCAGGGGCTGTGCAGGGGCCCCTGGAGCGGGGGGCGTTAAGCCAGGCCAGAGCAGAGTTCAGACTCACCAAACCACCCCAAGCTGGTCCAGGTGTGGAGCAGTTGGACCCCTGGTCTCCGTGGAACAGGGGCACAGGTGGGGAGAGCCACCCCTCCCCCCAGAGCACCCCAGGTCCCCAGGGCTGGCCGGTCCACTGGCAGCAAGTGGTCTGTGTGGATGCCCACACTGCACAAGCAGTAGCCATGATCTGGGGTGCAGTGCTCCCCGGATGTCCTTTGAGATGCCAGGCTGCACGGCCTACTGGGGTACAGGAAAGGCCCAGCACTCCTTCGTGCCAGCCCCAAGCTGGGCACTGCTGTGTGGTGGACACAGCGGAGAGGGCTTGAGCATGTGACTCAGATCTTGGGACTGGGCCCACCCAGATGTTGTGTTTGCAGCCATCCCCCTGTCAAGATGGGCAGGTCCTGCCTCAGGTGCCTCCTTCGGGAAGGGCCACGCAGCAGGGGGTCAGTTGGAAGCTGGTGGGTAGCAGGTCCAGCCAACTTCCTGCTCCTGCACCCCGCTGGGTGCACCCCACTTAAGCCCTGGGCCGGCTTTCTGCACCCTCAGATGCACCTCCAGTGTCTTGGGCGCCAAGATGCTCATGTCTGCTGGGGGCTTTCCTGTGAAGTTAAGGCTGGAGTCACAGGAAGCAGCCTTCGAGGGGCTTCAGGCCTTTGCCATGCTTCCAGGAGCTGTCACAGTGAGGAGGGGTCTCACAGTCAGCCAGATGTGGAAGACAGACCCTGTGTGGCTCCTGGGCTGCTGGCTTGGCAGACAGGCAGGGCAGGCTTGGGGCGGGCAAAACTGCCCATGAGGAGACCGAATGACTACCTGGCCCTGGAGATGGAAGGGCTCCCACTCCTGGTGTCGTCAGTCACAAACACTGGCCCCACACCCCAGGGAGAGACCCTGAGGCACATCTTCTACAACTTGGGAAGTGCACAGGATTCCAGTTTGCATCCTGCCGAGGCCCTGTTGTGGGGCTGTAGGGAACAGCTGGGGGTGTCAGAGAAAACTGCTCTGCAGGCCCTTCCCTTGCCTCTCCTGATGGTGGACCCAGAAGGCAGGGGCTCTGGCTACAGGAGTGCTCAGTGGAGAGCAGACAGCCTCACTGGGCTGTGTCTCCAGCTCCTTAAATGAGTTTGGTTGCTTACCCGAGGCTGCTGCCCAGCCAGGTCTCGGGACACATGTCCACCAGGGTCCAGCCATATGCTTGGCACTCCCCTCTCCAGCCTGCTTGCTGATGCAACTTCCTTTCTCAGGCCTAGGCCTCTGCCCACCCCCTCCTCCCCATCCCTGTCTCCAGCTGTGTCCACCCACCAATCCAAGTCCAGCTCCACACTCTGGCCATCCCCCCATGGCCTCCCTCTGACTCTGAGTCACACTGTGAGTCGTTGTCCTCCCCCCCCCCCCCGCTCCTAACCCTGTTCCTAGTGGTCTCTGTGCTGGCCCCCGGCCCCCCTGCTTAGTGTCCCCCATTTGGTTGGATATAGGGTTGTGCTCACTGTGCTGCTCCTGTATGGCTGTAGTCCCCTGGGGTGGGGCTGGCATGCCTCACACCCTGGAAGGTCCCGGAAATGGAAGATTGGCTGGGAAGGTGGGCCAGGAGCCCCATCTAGGCCTCAGGCAGCAGACATACACAAAGCAGTAGGGCCAGAAGTGACTTTGTCTTCCCCCAAGGATGTCTCTGGCTCCCAGGTGTGAGTGAGCCCCGCTTGGTGTGACTTAAGTGGATGGTCCATCTGGGTAGGGGGACAGCAGGTGTGGGGCTCCCTGTGTCTAGGTGCCTGAGGAGTGGGTGCCTAGGAGCCCCTGTCCCCATGTGCACCCAGCTCAGGAGGAAGCATCTCCAGATGAGGCCAGGGAGCTCACGACTGGCCTGCCCTAGCCTGGCCTTCATAGGGGTGCAGAAGCTTTGAGCCCTCAGTGAGTCCCTCCTTCCCCAAATCCCCTGCTGGAGGCCTTTCCTGACCTCCTGCCCAGTCTGGATCCAGGGGCCTCCGTGGGGGCTCCTGGCTTCCGTCTAACCAGCTTCCCCAGGCAGATGGACCATGCCCAGCCAGGTGACCAAGTCCTGCCTGGACACATCAGCAGCCCAGTGAGTGCTCCTGGGGAAGATTGTTGGGGGCCTATTTCCCTGTGGACCCTCCACGAGGTTCAGAAAAGTTTCAGATTTGAGGGATTCAGCATGTGACAAGGGATAGTTAGTGTTGGGAGCAATGCTACATAATTTTAGGGTAAAATCATTTTGTTAGCCTAGTTCTCTTGCCTACAGCCCAGCTACAGAATAACTCCAGTTTGGCGTCCAGTCGCAACTGAGACTTCAGTGGTCCAGTGATGCTGTGATTCTCCAGGACAAGAAACATCCTGGGAGCTGAAAACACCCTGGGAGAACAAACATCTGCTCAGTTCCTCATTGTTCTTGGACTGTTAACATCTTCTTTACCCAGGATGTACTGAACTCTCTGCAAGCCTTTTGTTACACCTTGTTTATCCCAATGTGAACTATTGAACTCTATATTTCATTTGTTACATTTGTTTCTCCCGATGTACTGAATAAAAGGTGCAGTAAGCTGGGGGCTTTTGTCTTTGTTTCCCAGAGCAGCACTGATCAGACCCAAAGCTCAGCTTCTTCTCAGTCTCATTTGTCTACCTTTCCTGTAATTCGCTGTGTGCTGCTGTAGCTCACAGGAGACCAGGACTCACTGCAGAGGTTCTGGTAACGTCCCCTTCCCCTGTTCCCTACAAGTTAGCCTGTGGCTGGGGCTGGGAACTCAAACCAGGTCATGTGCAGCAGGGCTCACAGCCCATGGCCCAGGTGAGTAGAGAGGCTCACCTGCAGGGAGCAGCGTTCAGGTCACCTGATGGTAGCTGGGTCAGCTCAGTGCTGGCCCTAGTGGCCCCCATTTCAGCCTGAGGGCCCTTGAGACCAGCACTGGGTCCTGAGATGCCAGCATGGGCCCTGGCTCTACCTTGTGTTGGGTGGCAGGCAGCTGGGGGCCAGCACCTGGCCGGGGTCACACAGGACTAGGCCTGTGAGCTGACCACGTTCCCTGCTGTTTGCAGCCGGTACTTGAGTGGGATCAGCCGGTCCCACGCCCAGCAGCTCCTCTTGTGCCCTGCCAGCGAACCAGGGGCCTTCCTTAACCGGCCCAGAGAGAGCAGCCTCGGGGGCTTCTCACTCTCAGGTACTTGGGCGGCCCCTTGAAACTGCCCCTTCGAGGGGGCATCTGGCTCAGCGACAGTTCTGGCTGGCATGCTGGTCACCCCAGCTGTTCTCCCCTGCCCTGCCCTTCCCCCTTTCCCCTCTTCCTCCTCCTTCCATTCACTTATTCACAGACTCTCATTGCCCAGGGCTCTATGGAGCACCTACTCTGTGTCCTGTGGCCTGCCCCTGCCTGGACCCCCTCCTGCATGCCACACTGGCCATCGCAGGGACCCCACAACCAGTCTGACCCAGGCTACTGGGGAGGTTGGGGTGGCAGTGCCTGGGCAGGCCGCTGCTGAGGCATCAGTATCCATCTCTGCCATCCTAGTCCGAGCCAAGGCCAAAGTCTGCCACTACCGAATTTGTACAGCGCCCGGCAGCAGCCTCTACCTACAGGAGGGCCAGCGCTTCCCCAGTCTGGAGGAGCTGCACGCCTACTACAAGGCCAACTGGAAGCTGACCTAGAACCCCCTGCTGCAGCCCTGTGTGCCCCAGGTGGGCCCCTGGGACCCTGCCTCAGTCCCTCAGCCAGCTCCGGGCCCAGCCCTGCTTGGGTCCTGCATACTCTGGTAGGGTCAGCTCAGCTCCCTGCATGAGTTTTATCCCCTCTGAGGCTGGTGGAGGAAGGAAGGGGGGGCTGCTACAGGGTGTGCCCTGGTCCTGGGGGAGCAGGAGCCAGCCTTGGGGAGGCACCCACTACTGCTGCAGGCCTCAGGCAGAAGCTGTGGGTGAAGATCTTGATCCCTGGTGCCTCCTGGTTGCTGAGACTGTCCCAGGCGAACTGGTGAGGGGGCTGGAGCAGCAATCCAGTTTCTCTGGTCACGTAATGACAGCCCGGCCAGGGGTAGTGTTTCTGGACGGATATCTGGCTCAGGCAAAGGTGCCACTTAGGTCCCCAAAGCAGTTAGCTCCCACAGCTCTGGATCCTGCTTCCCAGAGGTCAGCACTGGTCCCCCTTGACCCCAGCCTGGGCCTGGGCAAGTGTGTGCTGGGGAGAGAGGTGCCCGAGGACTCTGCTGGGGCTCTGCCCGGGACGGGGCAGCAGGGCCCTTCTGGAAGCCCACTCTGTCCAGCCTGCTCACTTCCAGGGGAGCAGCAAGTGGGCCACTGAGCCCCTTCTCCCCGCAGAAGCCCCCGGCACAGGACAAGTGGGAGCGGCCACGCTCGGAATTTGTCCTCTGGAGGAAGTTGGGTGAAGGCTGCTTTGGGGAGGTGTGGGAAGGCCTGTGGCTGGGCTCTGTGCCTCTAGTGGTCAACGTCATCAAGCCAGGTGAGGCGGTGCTACCCCAAGTCCCCCAGCCAGGCCTGGGCCAATGCCCACTGCCCTCTGACCCTGGGGACGCCAGGGGCAGGGGCAGCGGTGGCCTGGGCAGTCCTGGAGCAGAGGCCTCTCCTGCAGCTGACATGAAGCTGGCCGAATTCACCAAGGAGATCGCGGCTCTGAAGAGCCTGCGGCATGAGCGGCTCATGTGGCTGCATGTGGTGTGCTCCACAGGGGAGCCCGTGTATATCATCACTGAGGTCCTGTGCAAGGGCAGCCTGCAGGCGTACCTGGGCAGTGAGTACCCCACTGCTGCCCCTGCCCTGCAGCAGCCCGGCTCAGCCCAGGGGGACAGCAGCCATCTTCTGGGCCTGGAGGTGTCTCAGGGCCTGTCGATGTGACATGTGGCCTACACTGCTCATACTCGCCCCTGCCAGGCCTCCAGCCAACAAGGGCTGGGATCTGGGGCGTCGGGACCGGTCCTGGGCTTTGCTACAGTCAGCCTGGTTCCAGGGCTGGGGGAGAGTCCAGGTGTGTGTGGGATATGTCTCATTTGGGTCACCAGCCTGCGTAATATGCTGGTGGGCCCAGCCAGCCTCAGGATACCCAGCCCCTCTCTGATCCTTCTCTGCCCCTGGTCTCCCTTGGGGTCTGAGCAGGTTGCACTGAGAGGTCAGGGTGCAGGCACAGGCGGCTCTCTTTCTGTCTTGCTCACTGCCCTCGCTGTGTGGCCCACAGTGGCCTCTGTAGGGCAGCCAGCCTTACTCCAGCTTGGAGATGAGGAGACTGAAACCCGGACGGGCTGAGCTGCCTGGTCAGCACCTGCCTCGCTGACCTCAGCCCTGTGCCTCTGAGCCCTCTCCCCCTGCAGGCCCCGAGGGCCAGCACTGAGCCTGCCACTCCTGCTGAGCTTCACTTGCCAGGTGGCCGAGGCCATGAGCTACTTGGAGGAGTGGCACATCGTCCACCGAGACCTGGCCGCCAGGAATGTGCTCGTGGGCAATGACCTCACCTTTGGCCTGGCCCGGCTCCTAAAGGTCAGTGGGGGAGGGTCCAGTCTTCTGAGCCCTGGGGAGGGGAGACACCTTGCTGTCTGCTCACAGCCAACCTCCCCTGTCCCCAGGATGACATCTACTCCCCAAGCAGCAGCTCCAAGATCCCTGTCAAGTGGACGGCACCTGAGGCAGCCAATTACCACATTTTCTCGCACAAGTCTGATGTCTGGTCCTTCGGCATCCTGCTGTACGAGGTCTTCACCTATGGCCAGTGTCCCTTTGAAGGTGTGCTCCCCAAGGGGACACAAGGCCTCATCGGGAAGTTTAGTCTGAGGGGGATGGCACATCCACCCTGGGAGGTGCTGGCCCTGGGAATGGCCACCAGGCCTCTTCGGGCCGAAGGGTCTGGCCAAGGCCAGCTAGTGATGCCGGAGGCTGGGCTGGGGAGGTCTCCAAAGTGACCCTGGCCCTTTCTTTGGCATCCTCCCCAAGGATGACCAATCATGAGACTCTGTGGCAGCTCAGCTGTGGGTACCAGCTGCCCTGCCCAGCTGCCTGCCCAGTGGAAGTGTACCTGCTCCTTTTGGAGTGCTGGAAGGGCAGCCCTGAGGAGCGGCCTGCCTTTGCCATGCTGCGAGAGAAGCTGGGCACTGTCCACAGGCACCTGCACCTGGGCCTCACGTGACTGGGGCTCTGGGCCCAGGGTGGCACTGAAGCTGCTGCTCCATGAAGGACATCTCCCAGGACACTGCTTGCCATTAACACATAGCGTGGATGTCACACAGCCAGGAACCCTGCACGCTTCCAGGATCTGGCCATGGGCTTCCAGTGCTGACCTGGCTACACATGCGGGCCGTGCTTGGCCCAGACACACACCCCGACAACACGGGGCTGATGTTCTCAGCCCTGTGTGGCCAGTGTTCCTGGCATCTCTGGAAGGAGGGACAAAGCACAGAAATGGATTCTCCTGGAACCACTGAGGGAGCAGCCCCTGAGCCCAGAGGCCACCTCCTCCTCTGAGCTTCCTTTCCTTGGGCCTCCCTGGCTCCCTCCCCGGGTCACAGAGCAGAGGCCAGTGTCCCACCTGCCACACTGCTGCGGCTCCCAAGCAGAGCCATCAGCACAAACTGTGCACACACCGGCCCAGCCCTGTGCCCAGGCACTGCAGACCTGGGCACACGCAGCACCACTCAGTGAGCATGCTCCGACTCAGCCGTGTGCACCAGAACTGGATGCTGGGGTCTGTCTTGGCTAGCAAAGGTGGGAGGGAGAGCTGGAGCCCATCCAGAGCCCACGGTGCCCAGAATGGACACAGCCTTAGGGGAGGTGGCAGGACTGGCAGAGGCAGGGGCCACATGAACAGCCCTTCTGTCTCCCTGGGCCTGGCTGGAGCTGGCAGGCTGGGATTGAAGTGAGCAGGCTCTGTCAGGCCATAGGAAGGGCAGGCTGGGCAGCTGGCAGCTGCACTATCAGCCATTTCCAGGGCAGGACCTGCATTTCAGAGTTGGTTCTCGGGACTGGCACTGGCTGGGAGGCAGTTTCCTGGTTGGCAGATTAGGGGCAGTGTGTGTGGAATGCACTGGTATGCTGCAAACTAGGTGACAAGTGGCGCTCAGGTTAAAAGAAAAGCCCCAGCTGGGCCACATTTACATTTTGGGTGTGGCGCTTTGGGAGTGAGGTGTGGGCGGGAACATGCAGTTGGCCCTTGATTACCCCACAGGGACCTGGATGGCACTTTACAGCTCCCATTTGGAGGACTTGACCCCGTGTGCTACAGTTCAGGGCTGAGGTCCAAAGAGGGGACCGGGTCGTAAGGGCACCGACCACACCCCTGGGTGGACCACTGCAGAGTTCACTGCTCGGTGGCTGGCCAGGCTGTGGGCATGTGGCAGGGAGTGGGCCCTGGGGTGCCCCAGAGCAGCCTGGCTGCAGGCCCGGGAGGGGGTGGACCAGGAGCCCTGGAGGTGGCACCGGCCCTTGTGTGGGGTGGGGCAGAGTGCTGTGGTCTGAGCCTCTGGAGAGTATTTCATGTCCCTGGCTCTCTCTTTGCTCTCTTAGACTCTGCCTGTTTGTTTCCCAGATGCCTGGAGGTGTGCAGCTCTCCTCTGCCTCATCCTTCACTATGATGTTTTTGCCGGGAAGCCAGCCAGCCATGAAACGAAACTGAAACTCAACCAAAATAAATCTTCCTTCCTCTAAACTTTTTGTGGCAGGCATTTTGTTCACAGAGATGAAAAGCTGACTCATACAGTTGTGTATATCAGGTGTTTTGTCCCAGCAAATGGGAACATGACTTAATACAGGCACACGGGGGTCAGGGGGTCTTTGTTCGGGGTCTCCAGAGATCCTGCTCCACCTTCCTGGGGAGGAAGACTGTCCCCAGCCTGGTGTCCCCTCGAGGGATGGAGTTGAGGGTCAGTGCTGCCCCCACGGACGTCAGTTTGTTCACAGTCACTGACTATAGGCTTTGCCCGTGGGCAGCACAGGAGGGAGCTTGAATTGCACGGTGACCCCAGGCGTGTGGGGGAAAGGCAGGGCCAACACCTGAGGAAAGCGAGAGGGCTCGGGGCAGGGCCGCCTGTGAGGAGCACAGAGGGGTTTGTGCCGAGCCTTCTGGGGCCACACCTCTGCCTTGTCCAGTCCCGGGAGAGCTGAGAGGAGTCAGGTGAGGCTTTCACCCGGCTGGGGCAGTAACGGGCTTCCCTGGTGCCCTTCCCAGCGTTGTCCGGGGTGCTGGAAGGGCTGCCATGTCTGCAGCTGGGATGGGCAGAGGAATGTGCTGGGGTTGGAGGGTTATCTGTGGGCCCTGCTGCATTCCTGGGTGTCTCGTCAGCCGCAGGCTGAACAAGTTTGCCCTCCTGGTCTCCAGGAGGGGCTGCGACTTTCCTGTTTCCTGGTGTGCTTGGACAGAAGCACCCACACGTCTGTACCCAGGGACACACCAGGGTTCCCTGGACACAGCTGGGACCCGGAGACAGGGCTTGAGGGCACTGCAGCAGACAGGGCAGGGCAGAACTGCCCAGAGCTCTGGGCCTGAGCGGCCAGCGCCCTTCTGTCCTGCACTCAGCCGCCTGGTTCCTCCCTCGAGGCCCTTCCCTCAGGCCTCTTTCAGGACAGCCTCCTTCCTCCCCACCTGCCCCAACCTGACCTCCACCTCTGAGTCCTCCCCCAGCGTGGTGGCAACGGATCTGGGCTGGCCGGGACATTTCAGATGATGGTGGGCAGTGCCACTGTTTCTCTTTTTAGTGAGAACTTTGCCTGGGACTGTAGCTTAGCGGTAGGTAGAGCACTTGCCTACCATTCACGAGGCCCTAGGTTCAATCCCCAGGACCCCAAAAATTTTTAAAAAGAGTTTGAATGAGCAGAGTGAGGGCACGATTCCCTGCCACACATCCTCACAGCCCTGGTTACTCCCCACCCTGGCCCCTGTGTGGCTGCCCCAGCACCCTCCCCTGGGTAGGAGCACCCTGGGATGGAAGGAGTCACCTGGAGGTGGGGAAGACTGCCACAGGGACACGGACACGGGGCGGGCAGGGCTAGGGGAGGGAGTCAGGGCCGCAGGGCGCAGCTGGGTGGCCGAGGACCAGCCGCAGTGGTGCCTGGGAGACACAGATGGGCTGCAGGTGCCGCTCATGGTCTCCGGACGCCCCCTTGTGCCCTTGCTAGGGAGGGCAGCACCCGCTCCTTCTACCAAGGGACTGTGGGCTGCAGGTCTGACTGGGGTGCCCCCCAGGCCAGCCCACATGCTATTGCCCCTCATGTCCTGGCCCTCAGTGGTCTTCCCGGGTGCTCGGGGCTTGGCCCTGCCGGCTGTTCTGGGGCAGAGGGAAAGCCAAGTCCTCATGTCTGGGGCAGGGGCAGCAGCACTGCTCTGAAGCCCAGGCCCCGCTGCACCCACTCTTCGTCCACAGGTCTCACCTTGAGGCCCTTCCTGCCCACTTGGTTCCTTCTCCAGGGTGGGTGGGGACCTGACCAGGGAGGTGGCTCCCTCCACCGGTCAGTGGGTGGGGAGGCTCCATGGTGAGGGGACACCCACAAGTGTGGAGCCCTTCCCAGGAGAAGTAGGGCGGCTGCCTGCAGTCCACTTCGGGGTGCACCCTGCTGCTTGCTGTTCACATCCTGACTGCCTTCCTTTGGGGCTCCCTCACTGGTTCTGCTGAGCGGGCAGACCCTCCTGGGGCTGCTCCCCACCCTCCTGGCTCCCGTCTGGCTGCGTGGCCATGTATGGGTCTGGCAAGGGAGCGCCTGGCTGGCATGGGATCAGGCGTGTGCAGGACGGAGTCCATAGGTGCAGGGTGTGGCATGCTCCCGCCCCCTCATCAGGAAGTGGGTGGGGACAGCTGGTCAGGGACAGCCCTGCCTGCCCCTCCCAGTGCAGGTGCCCACAGCTGGCCCACATCCCTCCTGCTGCTGCACTGCCATGGCGTCCCAGGGCCAGCCCCACTCGGGCCCCAAGTATATGGGCCTCTGGGACTTCGAGGCCCGGACGGATGAGGAGCTGAGCTTCCGGGCAGGGGACCTCTTCCACGTGGCCAGGAAGGAGGACCAGTGGTGGTGGGCCACTCTGCTGGATGACTTGGGCCAGGCCCTGGAAGAGGGCTACGTGCCCCACAACTACCTGGTTGAGAAGGAGACTATGGAGTCTGAGCCGTGAGTCTTAGCTCTGGGCCAGAGGGGAGGGCAGCAGCCCTGGGTGGCCTGGGGGGACAGGAGGGTGGGGGGCTCTGGGTCCATCTTCCTGCATCACGAGGCCCAGGCTGGGTCCCCAGCTGAGCCCAGCCTTGACTCCACCCTCCCGGTGCATGGTGCTGACCGGGCCACCGTGTTGCTTGACATCTGAGATGGGCCTCAAAGGCGAGGGGCCTCTCCCCTGAGACCCAGAGAGGACAGGGAATCCAGGCTAGGCTTCGGGGTGCTGACCACCAGTGGTGAAGTCTGTGAGAGTCTTAGGGCCTTTGGGAGGGTGACGCTTGCTCACTTTCCGAACAGCCAGAACCAGATGTGCGACCTAGTTAGGGGACAGGAAGGCTGCTGAGCGCACCTGCAGCCTGTTGGGTGTGTGTCCATCCTTCCCCGCTGGCCCACTGTCCCTCGATACCCCCTGGCTGGTCCCCAGGGTCTTTGAGGAACATAAGGGGCTGGCATGGACTTGTCCACAGCAGCTGAGGACCTGGGAAGGCCCAGTGGGGGGCTCCCTGCGGCCTGAGCTCCTGAGGGCCCCGACTCTCAGCACCCCCTGAGCACCTACTGCATGCCAGGTGAGCAACAAGCATGCTGGGCTGGCAAGAGAACAGTTCCAGAGGCAGAGGCCCACAGCCAGGCAACACGGGGTGAGAGGGGACATGAAAGGCTGGCGGAGGCCGGGCGGCCAGCACTGCAGGTGCAGAGTCCCTGAGGCCCTGAGAACCCAGCCTGTGTGAGGACCGAGGAGGCAAGATGCTGAGAGGCAGTGAGGGCAGGGAGAGCGCCCAGCTTTGCAGGAGCTGAGGGCAACTCCAAAGGGGTCCGTGCCAGGTGGTGGTCTCACTGTGGGGCCTGTGTTCTGACAGCTCTGGGGGGAGCTGGCGACACCGAGGGCAGAGGCTCCCCAGGGCCCACCCTGCACTCCACAGCACAGCACTCCTCTGTGCTGTCAGAAGCCAGTGTGTGCTGGGCGTGGTGGTGCATGTCTATAATCTCAGTGCTCTGAGGCTGAGGCAGCAGGGCCACAGGTTTGAGCCCAGCCTGGGCAACGTAGTGACTTGAGACCCTGTCTCAAAAAGCCAAGACGGCTGGGGATGGGGCTCAGTGTGAAGGTTCTTTCCTGGGTTCCATGCCCAGTACTGCAAAGGAAAAAGAAGCTAAATGTGCCTGAGTGCTTTGAGGGGTCCTGTGTGTGTGTGTGTGCAGGACCATGCTTCCTCCTCTGGTCACTAGGACCTTTCCCAGCATCCAGAACCTGCTCTTTGGGACCTTCAGGCTTCGTGACAGACAAGAAGGGTCCCTTCAGGGTTGGGGGTGGTGAGGTGGGGCAGCTTGGTCAGGGCTAGGGGTGCGAGGGGCAGCCGAAGATGGCAGGGATGGCAGGTGGGCACTGAGGGCTTGGCTCTGGCTCAGGCCGCCCCTTCTCTGCAGGTGGTTCTTTGGCCACATCTCCCGCTCCGAAGCAACACACCGGCTGCAGGCAGAGGGCAGCTCACTGGGCACCTTCCTGATCAGGGTCAGCGAGCAGTCAGGCGCTGACTATGTTCTCTCCGGTACAGCCCCTGACTCGTCCCTGTCTGCCCATGCCTCGGTGGCCTCTTCCCTTCAGACTCGTGGCGGGCTGGGCCCCTCTGGCTGGGAGTCCAGGACGTCTGGCTCTCTTAGGAGCTCTGACCCTCCTCGGGGTTACAGCCCCCGCCCAGTGTGGCTCTCTGTGGTGGAAGCGGGAACAGACAGCAAGGGCAGCCCCTCTCTGGGGTGGAGAGAGCTTTCCTGGGGTCCTTTCCTGCCAGCCCGGCCACGCCACCATCACGGGAAGTGTGCAGCCCATGGGTGCCTTGCCCGGGTGTGAGCCTGAGAGTGCGTGGGGAGTAGCAGCCTGGCTGACCGGGACCTCAATTCGGCCAGGGCCATGGCAGAGGCTGGGCAGCTGTGGCCAGGCAGGGTGGGCCTCTGGCAGCAGCAATCTGTGGGACCCAGGTCCGAGAGCAGGGGTGGCTGGGCTTGGCGCGTGCTGGGCTGGGATGCTGCTCACTCTCCCACCTGTGCCACCCTGTCCCAGTGCGGGATGCTCAGGCTGTGCGGCACTACAGGATCTGGCAGCACAAGGGCGGCCGGCTGCACCTGAACGAGGCAGTGTCCTTCTCCAGCCTGCTGGAGCTCGTGGACTACCACAAGGCCCAGAGCCTGCGCCCTGGCCTGCGGCTGACTGTGCCCTGCTGGAAGGTAGGGCTGCCCGCTCCTGCCAGACCCAGTTGCTCAGGGGCGGGCGGCACAGAAGCCAAGGTTGCGCAGAGCAGGGGTGGGGTGGAGGGGCCAGAAGCCCGGCTGACGGGGCCTGAGGAGAGCTGCATCTGTGTTTGGACACAAAAACCCTCTCCAGCTGAACGAGGCCCTAGGTTCGAGATAAAACTGGGCTCCTCCCTGGTGTGGGGTTCAGAGCAGGCCCCTCCCGAGGGTGAGCCAGGGGCTCCCTGCCCTGTGCCCCCTGTTCCTCCAGCACCAGGCTGAGCCCCTGCCCCACTGGGCCGACTGGGAGAGACCACGGGAGGAGTTCACGCTCTGCAGGAAGCTGGGAGCCGGCTACTTCGGGGAGGTCTTTGAAGGGCTCTGGAAAGGCCAGGTCCGTGTGGCCATCAAGGTGATTTCCCGAGGTGAGTGAGCTGAGCCGGGGCCTCTGCTGACAACGTGCCCCTCCCCTAAAGCCCCGACCATTGGACCTACTGGGTACCAGCAGCATCGAGGAGTTCCTCCCATCCGAGCACTGAGCAGGCCCGACTCTGCTTAGCTTTTGGGGACAGACACATGGGGTGCATCCAGGGTGGGTGGCCGCAGTTGAGGGGGTTGTTTGTTTCAGGGACCCCTGTATTATTACCTGCATTTATTATAAAAGGGAACTTTAATTCCTTAATGAAATGGAAAGCCATTAAAACGAAGAAATATTTAAACATCTTGCAAGGTTCACCTGGCACTCCCCTGGGAATCAGGGCCAGGTGCAGGAAGCCATGGGCAGTGTCCGCCTCCAAAGCTCTAGCTCAGGCAGACATGGACAGGCAGGGTGTAGCGAGGTCTGCTGGGGGCACCCTGGGGTGCCGGGCCTGGTGTGGAGCCCTGTATCGTGGCCTGGGTGCTGGGCCCACAAGTGCTGAGCAGCTGGTGTGTGAAAGGACTGTGGCTCTGCCCCCAGACAATCTCCTGCACCAGCACACCTTCCAGTCGGAGATCCAGGCCATGAAGAAGCTGAGGCACAAGCACATCCTCGCGCTGTATGCGGTGGCCTCCTCAGGAGACCCTGTCTACATCATCACGGAGCTCATGCCCAAGGGGAACCTGCTGCAGCTTCTGCGGGGTGAGTGGGCAGAGGCCTCCATCCAGCTTCTTCCCGGGGTGGTGCAGGCAGGCTGGAGGCCCAAACAACAGCAAGCAGCAAACCAGAGTGCAGATCACCCCTGCCGTGCCTGGCAGCTGGGAGCGCCCAGATGCACTTGCCGCTTTCTTAAGAAATGACTTAAAGGCCAGGCGTGGTGGCGCACACCTGTGATCCCAGCACTTGGGAGGCTGAGGCAGGAGGATCGCCACAAATTCGAGGCCAGTCTGGACTACACAGAGAGAACTTGCCTCAAAAAACATTATTAATAATAATAATAATAATGATGATGATGATGATGGAAGTGAGGAGCAATGACTTAGAATATAATAAATCTTCCATCTGCTCATTGTAAACATTGAGAAACTACAGACACTACAGACAAGAAAAGCATTTGGGTCCTGCACCCAGTTAACTGAGTGGGCAGAGCAGCTGCTAGGCTCTTGCAGCGAGCTTCTCCTGGAGCCTCCGCTCTCCTTCTGGCTTGCAAACACGTACACACACACACATGCACCCTTAAACACGTGCACACTTACACATAAGCACTCATCTGTGCACGCACACACAAAGCATCTCACCCGGGAAGCTCCAGTCTTTCCTTCAACCCCCAAACAAACCGCTGCCAGTTAAGTGAGATGCTGGAAAGTGCTGCCTAATTTTGGATAAAGAAATGGAGATATGCAGTGTGGGGTAAATGACACGTGGTACACGTCTATGTTGAGGGCTGGGGATTTAGCTCAGTGGTTCCGCCACCTGCTTCACAAGCTCAAGGACCTGAGTTCGATCCTTGGTACCAAACAAACAAACAAACAAAAAAATGTGTTTGGGCCAGGGATTTAGCTCAGTGGTTCCGGTGCCTGCCTCGAAAGTGCAAGGTCCTGAGTTCGATCCCCGGTACCAAAAACAAAAACAAAAACAAAAAAACCCAACACAAAACAAAAAAACCCAACGTCTATGTGCCTAGGGACTGACATACCTGTGGGATCTGTGCCCACACTCTTCACATAGTAAGTCAGCTTGGTCATCACCACTAGCAGTTCATGGCAGATGAGACGCACCGTGCACAGCACACAGACGCGATGCGCCATCCCGGCACTCACTGCTGCTGAGCCCATGGGGGGTCTGTGGTGTAAGCAGTGCTATGGGGAACCCTCCTGCACACTTCCCTGTGCTCAGACAGTTTCTGCTATCAGAGGGTGTGACACACTGTGCTTGATCAGAAGGCTGGGCTGGCCCACTGTCTCAGCTTTAAACCAGGCCGAGGCCCAGGAGGAGCCGGAGCCTGGACAGCCAATGGCAGATAAGGACTTGGGCCTGGCTGGCCCAGCTGAGTCTGGGCTCTGGTCACCACACAGACTCTGAGAAGCAAGCCCTGCCTGTTTCCGAACTGGTGGACGTCGCATCACAGGTGGGCAAGGGCATGTGCTACCTGGAATCACAGAATTACATCCATCGGGACCTGGCTGCCAGAAACATCCTTGTGGGGGAGAACAACATCTGCAAAGTGGGAGACTTTGGGCTGGCCAGGCTAATCAAGGTAGGGCAGCAAGGTCAGCCATGAGGAAGGCGGCTCCTGACAGGGTGACAGTGACAGGAAAGGCTGGTCCACCCACACCTCCAGGGCCTCCTTCACTCTCACAGGAGCCCATCGGGAGCTTGGGCCTTCCCATCCCTGCACTCTGACCCCAGTCTCAGGGAATGGATGCTTCTGACCGCTGGGGTGGGCAGAGCTCCCTCTGGTGGCAGCAGGTGGCAGTCGGTGGGTCAGACGCGGTCAGCGGTTGTGGCTGCACCCTGGCCCACGAGACCTCTGCTCCTGGCCAGTCCGTGCAGCATGTGTGTGGGTTAGGGGGCACAGGGAGCCCCCACGATGCAATCAGACAGATGCCCCTATCTGATTGCAGGAGGACATCTACCTTTCCCACGACCACAAGATCCCTTACAAGTGGACGGCCCCGGAAGCGCTCTCCCGAGGGCATTACTCCATCAAATCTGACGTCTGGTCCTTTGGGATCCTCCTCCATGAGATTTTCAGCAGGGGCCAGACACCCTATCCAGGTATGGCCCCAGAGCATCCCTGACAATGGTGGACAGTGGGCGAAGTGGGGCAGGTCCGAGGCAGCCATCAGGGACGATGAGAGGAGCTTCCTGGGTGCCTTCCCCAGGACAGCACCTGCCCCATTCACTAGCATAGGCACCTCCTGTGGCTGCCATGTGGGGAGGGAGCCAGCAGGCCCAGGCCCCAGTGGGGGTGGCTGCAGGTGAGGCTTCCTGCAGCTGGGTTTCCAGGGTGGAGGTTGGGCGTCAGCCTCCCTGCAGTCCCGCTCCTCTGGTCCCACTGGCCCCAGGCATGTCCAACCGAGAGGCCTTCCTGAGGGTGGACGCCGGCTACCGAATGCCCTGCCCCCTGGAGTGCCCACCCAATGTGCACCAGCTGATGCGCTCTTGCTGGAGCAGGGACCCCGAGCAGAGACCTTGCTTCAAAGCCCTGTGCGAGAAACTCTCCGGCTTGGCTAGGTACGAAGACCTGCTCTGAACTGCCTCGAGGCTGTGTCCAAGGCCCGAAGAGAGGCGGCCTGGGCTGAGATCAAGGGTGTGCACTGTTCACTGGCTACTGAGATGATGGGGGAAGGAGGCACGTGGCACACCATGAGCGAAGGCAGCAGCAGCAGGACACCAGCCTCTCACCCACTCCCTCAGAAGCAGGCCCAGCATGGCCCCTCGCCGGCTCTCTCCTCTCTCATCTCAGATGTCAGGTGGGGGAGGACTGTCTCACAGGGACCTCAAAACAACCTGGGCTGCAGGACTTGCCGAGTTCTTGCCAGCTTGCTGCCTTCAGAGCCCACTTTCTGTCCTCCGTGCTCAGCAAGGGTGGACTGGGCCTTTGGGTCTTCGATCTGAAGGCTCCAGTCACATCAGTCTCACAACTGAATAAATCTGACTGCTTTTCTTTTGTTAACCTGTGCCCTGTTGAAAGGGTCTGAGCTGTGAAGCTTGAAACAGCAAGGAAAAGACATTGATTTCTCTCCCTACGTTTTCTGGGGCCCAAAGAGGGGTGGTTGAGACGCCCACTTGCCCTGGAGCCTGCAGAGATCATCGAGGACAGCTGAGGTTGGCCAGGGAAAAGCAGATTCTTTCCCTGACCTCTGCCTGTAGTCCTGAGTTGGCAGTGGGAGATACAGATTTGTCTTCTCTTTGCCAAGTTCAGCTCAGCAGGAGATCCTATGTGTTTGGTTTTGGTGCCCACTGGCCCACTCTCCAGTGACGGCTGCTTGTCTCAGGAGCCTGCACTTGAACAGCCCGAGGCAGGGGAGCCTACCGCTGGGGGCCCTCTGCCCTTGCTACCTGTGGCCACAAAGGTCTCTTCCTCCCTTTGCTGTCTTGGGACATGGTTCTGAACCTCCCAGTGAAGCACTATCCTGCGCTTTTGGGGAATCTCCTGGCTGCGATGAAGTCATAAAGGACTAAGCAGCTGATCCTGCTGGTGAAAGGTCTCTGGTTTAAAGGAAAAAGGAAAGGAGTCCGGTGCTGCCAGGCATATTTACCTGGTAGCCCATGCTTGGGCAGCGGTGTGATTTCTACGGCCTCTCTTCTCCCCACCGGGCCGGTTCACCACCTCTAGCCCTGCCACAGCCCTCTGCCCCGTCCTCCTGTCTTCCCAGGCTCCCTCCTCCTTGTGCCTCTTTGTGCTTCCCTCCTGTCCCCTCAAGTGCTGCTGTGTCCCCTGGGAACCCTGCCAGGCCTTCCCGTCCCTCACACTGGCTCCTTGTATGTGTGGACATTAGGGGTCCCCCAAAAGCTCCCTAAGGCTGACAAGGGAAGAGGTGGGTAGAGTTGGGCACGATAACCTCTCTAGATGCCTTCCAGCCATTGCCATGGCCGATGGCCTCCCTAGGACTGACCCCCAATAATGGGGAACTACACCCCCGACTCCCCCTCTTGAGAAAAGCATCCTCTTGGTGTGCCTTTGAGCTCACCAAGTTTGTTTTGGTTTTTGTTTTGGTACCGGGGATCGAACTCAGGTTCTTGCGCTTGTGGGGCAGGCGGTGGAACCACTGAGCTAAATCCCCAGCCCTGTACTCTTCTTTTAAATGCAGCTGAAAAATGACAAGAGAACATCGTGAACTTTGCACTGTTAGAATGATCACCCATTAAATGATCAGTGGTCAATACATTTGCATAATAAGGAAATTATGTATAGAACACTGCAAAAACCCAGTAAAAAGATGGAAGTGTGTCCATTCCTGCTCAGGTTTCCCTGCAACCCCATTCTCTGCTGTGCAGTCCTTGTGACTCCAAAATGTACAGCTATTACTGCTCCTTTCGCCTCTCACTTTTGCCCAAAACACAATTTGGGTAAGAATACAAATGGAAACAAAGTAGTAGGTATGTTCCCACTTTGCCAACCTGGGACTAAACATTCTAAAGCGGCAGCTGCAGGCTCTGGGCACCCTGGTTCATACATAGTTGTCATGTGGCATTTGTCAACCTCCAGGGGGCATTACCAAATTAATTTATAAAATGCCTTAAGAAGTTCTATTCAGATTGACCTAGAGATAAATGAGTGCTCGTATTATTCTGGAAACCCAGAAATACAGAAACTAACCAAATGTTCACATGACCTGGAACTATCTTTGTAAATAGAACTAGTTTTAAGAATGTTGGTAAAATAAAAATACGAATGGCTTCAAAATTGTCAGTGCTGACTACAATGCAGATAAACTTTGTTTCTACCTGGGTTCAGTCAAATAAGCTTAATCTTATTGGCTGTTTAAGATCATAAAACTAGCAGGGTGTGGTGGTGCATGCTGCTCACTTGGAAGGCAGAGGCAGGAGGATCCTGAGTTCAGGGCCAGCCTTGACTACATACTGAGGGGGCTGGGAATTTAGCCCTGTGGTTCCAGTGCCTGCCTTGAAAGTGCAAGGACCCGAGTTCGATCCCCGGCACCAAACAAAAAAGTGGTGCTCATGACTGAGTGCTGGGGTCACAGCTCACGGTGCTCACTTTCCAGTTTTCACCAGAACTATAAATAATCATGTAACTTAAACCATTAGAAACAATGAAAGGCAAGTTTGCATGTAAAGTATACAAGGAAAATAAGATAGTTTTGGTAAGGAAAGTTATACGGTTGTATAAAGGATGTTTTGGGGAAAGAAGTAGTTAATTCTGGAGCAAAGTAAAATGGCTGACAGAATAAGAACAAGAAAAAAGTAGGAAGAAAAAAGCGATGGATACTTTATTTAAAAGGTAAAGTGTGTGTGAAAAGGGAATCTTACGTATTCAAAGCTGGCTAAGATTGCACAGATTTATAGAGTTCCTCTAAAAGTTAGCTTTAGTGATGCAAAACTGGACTTTGGCATTATGAAAGCTTCTCATCTTTTAGGTAATTGGCCCAGGAAACAAGGGTTGTGCTTGAACATCATTTCTTGGCTTCATGCTATCTTTCACCAGGTCTTTCCTTACTAAAGGGTCTTAATGTTGAAAAGGCCAAGTTGTGTTCATAACCATGTAACCTAAATTTGCCTTTAAAAACCTTTTATCACTTTGATTAAACTGAGAGCCTAGATTATATCATCGTGTTTTTAAACTTCGGCATGTTTGACAACTTCTAAAATCAAATTCTAAATTAAATCTTTTTGACTTTGAAGTAACTGGGTACTTCCCAAAGGGCCCCTGGAATTACCTCAAAAGAATGTATCTTGTCTTGTAAGAGTGGAATTAAACTAATTATGTTTATTTGATGTGTTAAGTGATTCGAGAAAGTCAATAAAGTGATGCTAAACTTTCTTTAGATGTATTTATGAGTGTTGTACAAGTGTTGAAGAAACTGTATAAAACTCCTAGAAATCTCTATCCCCTGGTATGCTATCAGTCGTTTGTCTATTATGTTAAAATGTTGCATGAGACAGAAATAACCACATTTCATCAACAAATGCATCAATAAACTCTTCATATATGGCTTTAAGTATTTTCTTACAGACTTTTACTTTTTGAAATGAAAGCATTTGCAATCAGCCCTAGTCTCAAACTACTTCTCCTTCGAGGATTCACGAAGGTGAATCTGACAGTTGCTCTGGAAGGCTCCTGCTCAAGAGCACCACTGAACTGGTGAGAGCTTCCTGAACCCAGTGAAGAAATAGATGGGCTCCTAGTTGTTCCAAGATCAGCCAGAACAAGAACTGCCTGCCTAGAACTGATTGAACAGATGAAAAGAATTTAAATTACTTTTTTTTTTTTTTTGGTACCGGGGATTGAACTCAGGTCCTTACGCTTGCAGGGCAGGAGGCAGAACCATTGAGCTAGATCCCCGGGCCTAAATTATTTTAAAACATGCTGGCTCTTGGGCTGGGGATGTAGCTCAGCGAAAGACCTGGGCCCCGGGTTCAATCCTGTGGGGGACACTGTGCTAATGGTGGTATGGCAATTGATAAAATATGCCTTTGTGAGCAAGGTGAAGCGACCTTTTCCTCTTGCTGATCCTTTCAGAATTCACAAGCTATTAGTGAGTACCTTATTTTTATGGCAACATAGTCACCTGCACAAGTTCAACAAGAATTTGTTTTCCTTGTAACAGGACATGAATGGAAACACTGGTTGCATTACCAGGATTGTGACTGGAACGTCACATTTTCAGACTAGGTAGGGAACTAAGGTGGACTTCACAGAGCGAATGAAGGCCTTTGAGCAGAATGGCCTTGGAAACACGATTGTCTTCTGATGAGAAAGGATGTCACTTTACACAAGCCCAGGAAGCCTGAGATACTTTTATAGAGAAACTTGAGAAAAACTCACCTAGCCGGGCGTGGTGGCACATGCCTGCAATTCCAGCACTTGGGAGGCTGAGGCAGGAGGATCACCACAAGTTCAAGACCAGCCTGGGCTACATAATGAGTCCGTAGCCAGCCTAGACTACACAGTGAGACCCTGTCTCAAAAACAAACACACAAAACTCACCCAAATTGCTTCCTAGCCTCAAGGACCTTTTGTTTTGGTTCATTTTCTTGGGATAGGGTCTCACTGTGGAGCCCAGGCTGTCCTCAAACTTGTGCTCCATGACACTCAGCCTCAAGAAACTTTTTATTTTTTGGTACCGGGGATGGAACTTAGGTCCTTGCGCTTTGGAGGCAGGCAGCAGAACCACAGAGCTAAATCTCCGGCCCCAGTCAGACTGAACTTTTAAAAGATTCAGGTTCCGCCACCTGCCCTCAAAGTGCAAGGTCCCAAATTCCATCCCTGGTACCAGAAAAAAAAAAAAAGATGCACAAAAGTTCTGTCTGACAGTCCACATAAAGTCCCAGCAAAGCAAACACCAAACACGGTGTGGTTAATCTATTCTTGCTGCATTTTGAGAGACTAAATTTGTTGAGCAATTAAGCCTTACTTTGATAGAAATGGGGGGCTGTGGGAAGAAAAGGTGCTTCAGGACTGCAATGCCCTGGCAGTAGTCACCCGTGCTGATGGAGACTGAGGGTTTGCTGTCACCTCACCTGTGATCCTGACTGACACCTGAGTTCACTTTCTCTGTATCTGGCTACCAGCCTCCGACTTTTCTTCCACCCCTGGTTTGGAATCACTGAAAATGGAAACTGCCCTTCCCTGGGGCCCTGGAACTACACCTGGACAACTGGTAAACACTCCAGGGACCACTGCCACTCCCACATGGGACAGCTTCGACATAGGCCAGCTAGAGCTCAGGAGCACAGGGCCACTGCCTGCCTCATCCACCACCCCAGGCCCGATCTCGAGAAACCCTGAATGGCTGCCCTCACTGAACACCTGATGGCCACCCCAGAGGAGCCAGCTTCTGTGGAGGAAACAAGGCAGCACCGTTTACCTCCCCTTGCACTGACCTACTACCAGGTCCTGGACTTGGACAACTTCCACCCCACCAACTGTTCCTGGGCTGTGAAACTCCGTGGGCAAGTTCCCAACAAAGGTAGTGAGTGCAGGAGCACACAGCGACCGGGCTTGTCCCCAACACAGCAGAAGCAGGATGGCCATACACCCTACCTGCTTCCTTCCTGGAGCAGGTCCCAAAACACAGGACGGCCACTTTCTGGCCTTCTCTGAAGACCTCCCTGTAAAGAGGGCTGACCCAGTACCCAAAGCTAGGGTTCAAAAAGCTCGATTCCCAAGCACTTTGAGTTTTGGAGCATTTAGGATTTTGAGTTTCCATATTAGCGATGCTTAACTGTTAGTTGATGCAACTATTCCTAAACCGAAGTCTAGGTTTTAAGATCTGAAGCATTTCTGGTCAAGCATCTCAGGTAAGAGATACAGATTCTCCTGGGGTTTTTTGTTTGCATTCTGAAGGATCCTGTGTCACACACAATTTATATAATCGATGAACCTGTATGTTCTCTTGTTAACTGTCTTTTGTGGCTATCTCTGGGGCGAAGCTTGTTGTGGGGACCCTAAGGAGTAGCTCCACATCAGGCTCGCCTCCAGACCATGAAGAGGCCCCCTAGCCACGAACCAGCCCAATCCCGAGGCAGGAGGCTGCCCCAGCTAGGACATCAGCTCCCTGACATTGCAGGCCTGGCCCAACGCTGTGCACCCTCCCCAGCTGATTCCAAATCTGAAGTTCTCTGTAGCAAACCCACCCTTGGAGCTAACCAAAAGCCCGTCAGCTGACTCAAGATGAAGGCCAAGCCCATGCCTGGGTGGCAGGTGTGGTAGGGACCTGAATTTTGGCTGGGCTCTCCCTTCACAACCAGGCTCCCTGCCCAAACTCCAGCATTTGCAGACAACACTACAGGTGGGGCGGCAGGGTGGATGGGCGGTGGAGAACTGCTGGACACTGCCCAGAACCCAGGTAGTTGTCCCAGCATCCTGCTGGGAGAATCAGCAGCCACTATGAGGGGCTTTGCAGGTCTTGTAGGGACTCTGGCCAGAAAGACCAAGTGGGGCTCGGGGTACCCCTCGAAGTACCGTCCCCTCAGGCACCTATCCAAGGTAGGGGGTCCTCCTCTACCCAGTCCAGCACTGGCCACCTAGCCTTCGAGGGAGTGAGGCCCCCTACCCTGCAGGCCACCTGGGCACCAAGGGAGACAGGCGAGGGGCTCAGCTGTGAGGGGTGTAAGCTGCACATAGCTTCCCATGGACTCTCTCCAGCTATTTATTTCACCGTGGGGTAGGGTGGCAGGAAGGCCTAATGAACCCCACCCATGGCCCTCCCCCCACAAATACAGGCCTCTCTTACCTCTGCTGACCTCAAGCCACCCGCCCCAGCTCCTGTGCTTCCTGATGTCTAAGGTGGGTTTCCTGTGACAGGAAGGCCCCTGAGGGTCCTGAAGCCCTGTTCCTCAGCCTGTCCACCCACCTTCCTCCCTGGAGCTGAGGAGGAATGTCAAGGTCTTCTAAGGGGGTCCTTCAAGGGACGCTGGGTCCCTCCAACTGAAGGCTCCTAAATTCAAGCAAGAAGTCCAGACTCCCCAATGGCCACCCTGCAGCTCAGGTTGTGGGGTGGGGGCACCTGCCCTCCCAGACACCCCACCCACTTGCCCAGGACATCTCACCAGAGAGAAGGCATCACTGTGAAGTCCGGGTAGAAGGCCCCCAGGAAGCAGGGCCAGCCCAACAGGAAGTGAGGCCAGCAGGGAGTCAGTCAAGTCTCAGACACACCACCCGGGCTGTGGCTGCTGGGAGTTTATTTTCTGCTTGGTGCAAGGCACAGTTAGCAGAGTTAGGAAAGCTCAGTGCGGCCTGGAGAGCAGAGCATCTCCGGCCTTCTGCTGGTGGCTGGCGTTCTGGTGCGTCCACTTGCTGCAGCCTGCCTAATCTAAGGGGAGGGGAGGGGAGGGGAGGGTTGGCAGGGCTCGGCTGACCTAGGAAGCCTTGGCTGGTCGTACGTTCAGGTCAGGACGAGGGCCTGGTGTTGGCCTGGCTGGGCTGGCTGAGCGGCTGCTTCCCTGTGGTTTCCGAAGCCAGGCCACTGGTGACCACGCTGCTGGGAGCCTGGGGGGCTTCCGAGCTGCGACCAAGCACGGGTCAGTGGGTCAGAAACCGCTTCCTTCCATACTCACCCCAGCCCCTCCCGGGGAGGCGGACTCACTGCTCTGGGGACTCCAACACTGTGGCCATGAATGGGACAATGGGCTTCCCGAAGAAGAAGCTGGCCCACCAGTGACCTGGGTCGGCCTTGGGGAGACCTGCGAGAAACAGCGCGGTGACGACCCCATCGCCCGGGTGGGACCCCGCGCTCCCGTCCGTCTGCGCGGCGGGACCTGCGCTCACCCAGGTGGTGGGGGACGGCTTCCCCGGGGTACTCGGCACTTCCGCAGGAGCTGCTGCCGGACGCGGAGCCCAGGCGGCCTGGGGAGGGGAGGGGGGTCAGCCGCAGCGGCCTCGCCGGCGGCCCGCATCTGGGCTCGCGGGGCCTACTTACGCCGGTAGTAGTCGTGGGTGGCCACGAGCGAGCCGCTGGAGGGGATGGCTGCCATGCTGTCTGCGCGCGCTGGAACCTGCGGGGGTGCGGCCCTGGTCACGGAGCCCGCGGCGGGCGGAGGCCGCCCGGCGCCGCCACCTCCCCCCCTCCCCTCCTCCCCTCCCCGGGCGGCGCCGGGCGGCCCAGCGGCCGAACAAAGGCGCTCTGTGCACCCCCGGTCAGGCCCGGCCCCGTGCTCTGACCTCGCCGGCGACCCCTCGAGCCTCAGCGCGCAGTCACGGGCGGCGGGGCCGGGGTGCTAGGCCGCGAGGCCCACCTGCAGAGCAGGCCGCAGCAGGCACCGCTCCAACGAGATAGCGCGCCGGCGACGGCCGCGACGCGGGGGGCGAGGTGGCCCCACGTGGGCCCGCCCACCGAGCTGGCCCCGCCCCTAGGCCCCGCCCCGTCAGCCTCCGGGACTCCCGGACCGCAGTGCAGTTCCGGCTCCGGCCGCCTGGGGCCGCCCGCGAGCGACCCGGCCGGGCCCAGACCGAGAGGTCGAGGACTTCCTGCCTGGGTCCTAGCGCCGGACCCGTGCCCAGCCCCACTAGTGCTGGCTCCCCTGCACCTCCGTCTACGCTGCTCGCCTGCGCCCAGCCCGCAGGTCCGCCCACTCGCGACAAACGAGGGCTCCTGCTCCGCGGCGGCTCCCTGTCCCCGGTGCGCCCTGGTTGGACCCTGCCACCAGGAAACTGCCCCTCCCGGGCCCCAGGCTGCCTTCTGCGGCTGGGCTCTCGAGGGGCGGCAGGTCACCATGGGGTTCAGGGCTTTTGTTTGGGGCAGCCTCCAGCAGCTGGAGGCAGAAGTGTGCACTGTTGCTCCGGACTCCTGTTTGGGGGACCCCAGAATGTTCCCATCAGGCGCCTGCGGCCCTGGGCTGACCAGCCACGCCCTCGCCCATCAGTCAGAAGCCAGTGCCTGTCCTCCTGTCCTTCCTGCCAGGCCCACTCCCCACTTCCTCCCCAAGCCCCAGCTCCTGCTGCCCAAAGGGGAGCTCAGCCAGCCCCCTGAAGTCAGCTCCTTTACAGCAGGCAGCTGAGAAGGCCAAGGAGGGAGTCCGGGGCAGTGCATGGGGGTTCAGGAGGACCTGGTGGGTCTGTAGCTCCATGCTGCTCCATGAGCCCATGAAGGCTGGGAGGGCACTGTGCCAGGTGGTACTGGTGCCCTTCGTGGGACGAGGCCAACAGTGCCGACCAGTCTTGGCAGATGCTCGGAGAGGACCCAGCAGTGGGCCTGGGCCCTTCTAGTCATGGAGGGCGCCCTGTGGCACAGGGAGGCTCTGACTGGGCCCCGAACCTGTCCACCCAGTGTGTGCAGGTGTTGAGCGAGTTAGGAGAATGGTGAAACAAATTAGAGCTGCCTCTGGCCAGGCACAGTAGGGAAAGTCTGTAACCCCAGCATTGAGGGAGGCTGAGGCAGGAGGATTACCAGCTCAAGTCCTGCCTTAGCAGCTCAGCGAGACCTTCTCTCAAAAAGCGGGGCCTGGGGTAGCTTAGGGTTAGAGCACCCCTGGGCCAGTATTACCCCCACACAAAAAAGCCACCTCCACGTGGGAAGCCAGTCCACGGGCTGGAGGGGAGGAGAGGGCAAGGCTTATGCTAAGGTGTGGCAGGAAGGGGTGGCAGCTGGCCTATTCTGGGCAGAGCAGACAGCATGTGCGGGCACCCGAGACACAGTGCTGGCTGGTGCTGGGCAAAGGGCAAGGAGGGCCTGGGCCGGGTGGGTGGCAGCAGGACCTGTGTGGGCAGACCTGGGCAGGGGCATGGGTCAGAGCTGGCGCTTTGCAAAGATGGGCCTTTCCAGCAGGGCCCAGGCTTGTTTCTTGGCTGCTCGTGCCGCAGGCTCTGGCAGACCTGCGGCCCAGGCTGCAGCTCTGGATTCAGGGTGCAGGACGCCAGAGCCAGGACCTGGCCACGCAGGGGCTTGGAGAAGCCTGGACAGCATGGGAGCAGGGTCAGGCTCCAGGCACAGGCCACCCTGCCTGTGTCCTGGCTCAGCTGGCGGGACAGGTGGGCAGAAGTGGAGGAGAGCCAGCGTGGCATCCCACAGCAGAGCCATCCCACAGGACTCTGGGCAGCAAGGGAGGGGCTTGGAGAAGGGGCAGCTTATGGTCTTCATGGCTGGGGAGCGGAGAGGAGGAGCTGCCAGGGCTTCTGCTAGGACAAGCTCCACACGGGGGCTGGTTCTGGCCTGGCTGCTGCTGGTTCTGTTTGTCCAGTGGGTCCCACTGTGTGTCAGGGGCAGCGGGAGGCTGTGTGCTGAGGTGCATTCACTGGGTGGGCACAGCCTCTGCCCTCATCACCTTGGGACCTGGAGGCTGAGCACAATCTCAGCACCAGAGCAGAGGTCCTCCCACGGGAAGGACCAGCATGTGCAAAGGCCCTAGAGCCAGAGGCAACCATGCCACACTATGCTGTGGGTGTGAGGAGGTTGGAGCCAGGTCCTGCCTCCTGTTGGACACAGAATAAAGGGCCTCAGTGACCTCTCAGCAGTGGGGTGTACATGTGTGGCTTGTGGTCACCCTGTGTGCTGCACAACCTGGCCTGGCCTACCCTGAGGCTTGCTCAATCTCCTCCCCAGTAGGACCGAAGCCCTGTCCTTTCTTGGGCCTCCCTAGGCAGGCTCAGGCTTGGGCAACTGAAAGATGTGGGGCAGAAGGAAAGACAGCCTGGTCAGTCTTCTGAGTCAGCTCTGGGAGGTCCCGAGACCCCCTGCACTGACCTCAAGACACCCCGCCCATCAGGATGGACAGGAAGCCTTGGCCATCACAGAAGATGGCCCAGAGCTTCTGAGAGGCACATCTGAGGCTTGGGGACACTCTCTTCTTTAGCTTAGTGCTGCAACTTCCTGGGACAGAGGTGCCTGCTGTTTCTCCTTCTATGTCAAGAGCCCACTGTACTTGTTGCTGTGGCCAAACTACCTGATATGTAATCCTTTTTTTTTTTTAATGGAAGAAAGGGTTTATTTTGGCTTACGGTTTCAGAGGTTTCGGTCCATGGTAAGCTGACTCCAAGACAAAAACATCATGACAGAGGGTATGGCAAAAGAACACTGCTCCTCTCATGGCAGTCAGGAAGCAGAGAGAGCAGGAAGAGCCAAAGAGGAAGGGGCCAGGGAGCAGATACAGTCCCCAAGATCACGTCCTCTGACCTACTGAGACACACTCAGAAGTGGGTTTTACTAGTCACCTGATGACCTCTCAAGCTAATCAAGGTGACAGTTAAGATTAACCATCACACTCACCATGCAGTTGGTAGTCACCATTGGTGCTCAAGACTTGTGGTTGTGTGGGTTCCACACATACTGATCTTGCAGTTATGCTCAGCCGGACCCTTCCTTGGCAGGAAGGCACGTGATGCCAGCCCTTGCTCGGTGCAGATGTGTGTCAGGCACAGCGACTGGGCAGAGCCCATGACCCCAACCTTTGTCAGGCCAAGGCCAGCCATGCCTGGGGTTTGTCTGTGGCAGGCTGGGTCTGGGATCCTGCAGAGGTGCAGTGGATGCCTCTGTCAGAGCTTCCTCTTACAGAGTCCTCTTGGAGTTTGGGGTACAAGGTGTAGGCCAAGGCTCAGTACCTGGAAAGGGGCGGGAGGCACTGTGGGGGTGATCGTGTTGGGCCGGCTGGCATAGCCCTGCACTCGGTCTTCACTTGGCCAGTGTGGCTGCCCAGAGGGGAAGACCTTGCACGGAGGAGCTGGTGATAGGGGCCATCCGATGGCCTCCCGCATGGACACCAAGGCCATTCCTGCTTCTCCTGGCCCCCTCAGCTGTGCTGGGGCCAGACTGAGCAGCTCACTCATCCTCACCTCAGCCACAGCTTCCGGGATGGAGTGTGAAGGGAGGGTCTTCCTTCTTTCCTCCCCCTTTCCTTCCTTCCTTCTTCCTTTTCCCTTTTTTTTCTTTTGAGATGAGTATCTTGCTGTATTGCCCAAGTTGGTCTTGAATCCCTGGGCTCAAGCAATCCTCCTGTCACATCCTCACAAGTACTGGGCCTATAGGCATGCATCACCATGCCTGGCTCAGGAATTCTTTCTTTAAAGTGGAGAAGGAGAAGCTGCCCAGAAGGTGGGGCGCCATGGCCTGTCTCCATAGCGATGCATGGGGACACTGAAGAAGACCTGGCACCCAGTAGTTAGAGTGAGGAAAGGGCCGCTGTGAGCTCTGTGAGGACTGCTCAGGTTGACTGCAGGGTGGGTGCCCCCTCTTTCACAGCTCTGAGGTGCCCAGTGAGGCTGCCCAAGCCATTGTCCTGCTGAGGGGCTGCTGACACTTCCCCAGGTGGTGGCTCGTGTTGGGAGAAGGTACCTGGGAGCCACGGGCTGGGTTGGGCCTGAGTGGCCTCTCACTGGGTGTGTGAGCTCGCCAGGGCACTTGCCTCTGCTGCTGGTGTCAGTGGGCAGAGGGGACCCTTGGTGGGCCAGCAGGCCAAGCTCAGGAAAGGCCCTTCTCCTCCCCTGGTGCATTTGGAGAGGTGTTGGGGTTGCAGGGGCTGCAGGGCTCAGCACTGGCTTAGGCACAGGGGATGGGAGAGACAGTCGCATGCTGCACAGAGCTGACCAGGCCTAGATTGCAGCCTGAACGCAGTCATTTGCAGTAGGACATTGGCAGGGGCATCTCACTGGAGAGGGACATCTTATTTGGCCCAAGACTGACAGTGGCTGTAGGCTTCCTGCAGGGTGGAAGAGAAAGGTGAGGCTCAAGCCCCCATCATAGCATTCACCTGTCACACCTCAGCCTTTCCCTCTCTCGTAGATTGGATGATGGGGGACTATGTACACAGGCTCTCTGTCATCACTCAGTGTTACAGCTTGTGCTTAGATGTCCCCCCAAAGCCTCATGTACACATAGGTGAGGCTTTGGGGATGTAGCTGGGTCATGGGTGTGTGATACTGGGATTAAGGGTGTGTGATGACTAAATTGGTTTAGCATAGATCTGGTGTGGATAATGGAAGCCCTACCCTGGATATGGATGGGACCACACAAAAGGCTTGTAGCCTGGGTGGGATAAAAGGGAAAGGGAGGTTTCTGCCTCCTGTCCACCCTGCCATGGACTGTTTCTCCTCTGCGATGCCCTCTGCCAGACCACCCTGCCTTGGAGGCAGCCAACCATGGACTGAAATCTCCACAAACTGTGAGCCAAAATAAACTTTTCCTCTTTTATTGTTTTTTTGTTTGTTTTTTGTTTTTGGTACCCGGGGATCAAACTTGGGGCCTTGCGCTTGCGAGGCAGGTGGCAGAACCACTGAGCTAAATCCTCAGCTCAACCTTTCCTCTTTTAACTTGTGGGTGTCTGGTATTTTGTCTCAGCAATGAGAAGATAACTAAGACACTCAGTAACTGGGGCTGTGATTGTCCCTGTGCTT